GGGGGGAAACCATTTGGTGATACAAATTTTCACAGGTTTCAAAAGCGGGCATTAAACAAAGTTATGCAGAATGTATACATGTAAATTTGAAATGTCCAGAAGAAATTATCACTCCAGAAAAATTAAAGAAGCCTTCTAATAGGATACGCTTCTTGGTGTAAATTGTGACTGAGTTTTGAATAAACAATGTGTTTTCACTGACTAGCTGGAGAACACCTCCCCTCACCACCACCCCACCCCCAAAAAATGAAACAAGGAACTAACAGAGTAAGATCATGTCAGGTGCCAAGGCATTTGTCTGCTCTCCAAAGCCACTTAAATATTTATGCCTAATTGGTCAATAACCTGAGCTATGATACTTTGCTTCTCCTGGCATCAAACTCACTACAAGTAATAGTTTCAAACATTAAGTTCCTTCAGAGGAATCTCAGAGCCCAATAAACAACAACCAAACTAATTCTCAGTTTCCATAAAATTTCCTGAAATTTTAAGTCTGAACAGAGCTAACGGTATCTCTCTGAAAATATGTCGGAAGGAGAAAGCAAATTCTGCTTTCTAAAATACTGTATATCTTTTTTGGTATTTTTAGAGCTTCTTGCATTTGTTTGTTCATGTGGCTATACATGAAAACCTCTAAAGAGTCATTAAAACAAAAGGAAAATAGGACTAATCTATCTCCATCCAGTTCCTGGTATGTCCCTTAATGCTTTTATGGCTACCCTGGTTTGTAAGTGAGCGCATTGTAGGGAACAAAACAAAACAAACAAAAATGGGCAAATGAGGATATTAAGAATGGAAAAGAATGAGTCCTTACAGTGAACAATTAGAGAGATTTTAATGAAACTTTCAAGGAAGGTAACTGCTGCCACTTTTAAATTGTCTTCTTCCAGGCTGCATTTTGACTGCATAACCACATTGCACAGTGTTGTTACTGGTGGATAGCAATAGAAAATTTCTAATGGGATATTGAAATAGAAAGCTTCTCATAAAAATAAACACTAGCATTCCCAAGCACTACTAAAAAAAAAAAAGGAAAGCAGTGCTTTGCTTTTTCGGCTAGGAAGAAATATGGAAAAAAAGTGAGGTCTAGAAAAAGAATGTCCTGAGAAGCAGGACTGACAATGAGCTTTTGACTTACTGCCCAGAGCTGTGACTCTGTCTTTCCTGTTGCTTGGCAACTCCATGTTATCACAAAGAAACTGATATTAAGTTGGAACAGGCTGGATATGGTAATTTACGTGGGAAGATACTCTTGCAGTGGGAAAACCATTTTATTTCTAGTTTCTGTCAGCATAAGTAGGTTTCACATGATGAACTGTAGTACATCCCCTGTTGGGTGCATTTTACCTAAAAAGGTAAAGAGCGACTCTGCCTTGGAAAGTGACTGTGCAGAAAAAAACAGAAAACCAATAAACCCCACCACCTTGTTATTCATTAGACCTGCTCCTAGTGTCTAGTCAGACATTTCTTCCAACAGCAGTGATAAAAACTTGTTTTCATACCTGTGTGGATCCGCTGCAGATTAGAGAGATGGAACTCAACCATTATCCACAGTCTGTAAGAGCTGTCGAGATTTGCCCAAGTTGTCACTGTCTTATACAAACATTAAAAGATGATCCTCACTTTATCTGAATAGCCCCTGTTCTTCCATTCACGTTGGCAACAGTTAAGTGCTAAGTTTCAGTTGCACTTTAGTTCTTTGCTGCTGAAAGAAGAGGCTGCACATGTAGCAGTTACGGAGTAATTTGAAGATGATAGAAACTGTCATTCAACTTTGAATTTGGCTGGGGCTGTATGGCTGAGAAAAGACTCAATTTTGATTGAGGTATATGGAGAGAATGGCAAAGAGAGAATTATGCAAAGCAAATTTGATCATGAAAGCTTTGAGCCACAAAAGATATGTAATCCATAATGGTGTTTTGATATTTCAGTTTAGGTCTAAGATTTAATTAGAAAGGGAGAAAACCCAGAAGACTCGGTTCAATGCAAAGCCCTTTTTCTTAAATGTCTGGTTTACTCATAGCTCTACTGAACCACCACCCCTGTCTTTCTGTATTTCCATCCTGCATCACTTCTAGCATTTTAACATCAACATGTAGGCCTATAAGTAAGGAAGTACTTTTCGTGTCTTCAGGACTCCCTGTTCTGGCTTTGGTCAGCAAAACACTCCCTGTCTCCAGGCTTTTCTCTGCTGCAGAGCTAACTTAAAATATAACTCAACTTTTACCCTTGGCTCAAATCCCAACCATACACAGAAACTTCTGACTTGAGTATGTTGATGCTGTTCAGCTGAAAGGATTGGTCTGGACTGTCAGAAGGCACAGGCAGCAGCTTCAATTGCACAGCTAATACAGCTACCCACTCCTGCTCCAAGGGCTTGCCTTCATTGCCAAAAAAGGCGCATTTTTACTGTGAGATAATTAGCCTGAATTCACTATCCTTATTTAAAATCAAGCTCTTCATCTCTTTCCTTACAGTGAAGACATTGGTTCCCTATTAAATCAGAGCGTCCCCTTTTGCTGAGGCTAAACTGATGAGGAATGAACTCTGCAATGAAAACAGCCCACACCAAATTGACCCAGATACTGCAAGCAAAGTCCTTTTCTAAACGGGCTCATGGTGGGGAGGTAGCTCCCTTCCTTGCTCATTTTTCATTTGGCCAGCACAGAACCTATAAGCTTGCATCTGATCTACCAAACTAATGAGTTTGTCTCCTTTTTAATTTACCACATCACCTCCAATAAATCTAAAAATGCTCTTGGCTGTTATCTGACTTGCAGGGGAATAATTACTGGACTGAGTCCAGCAGCAAGCCTGGCTTAATTAAAACACAGAGTATTTCCCAAAAAGGTAGTGACCAATATTGCTCCGAGTGCAACCTAAACCAATTTCACAACAGAATGGAACAGATGAACTTTGCTTTACCCCAGAGCTTTTTGTACTTTTAAACTGAGTTTATCTGATGAATCATGAAGAACAGATTTCCTACACCCCCTTACCACTAGCAGCTAGTGGCTAACTTTATCCATCTTAACTGTTGTCTTCCAAGCAAATTGCTAGCACATACCACCTGTTTCTTAAGCCCTGGCATCAGGGTAACATAAACCTTGCAGTTTCCATATCTTATATTCATTGCATTTGTTAATGCCTGCTGTAGAGAGTTTTCTATGCCAAGTAGCAGCCTCCTCTGGCTTGTGTAGCAAGCTAGTTTTTGCTACAGCAAAAGCTGTAGCAACTCCTTGGTATGGCAACAAAAATACCTCTATATTTCCCCTCATCTAGGGTTGGGTTGGTTTTCCTTTTTAGATTGAAAGTATTCTTTAAACAGTTTGGCCACTATAACTTTTATTAAGTAAAAAATCCCCAAAACCTGCTTCTTGTAGCACCTGCATTTTCTGTATGCAATGATTCTCACTGGTGAGGAAAAATTGCTGATATGTTTTTTATTCTTGAATTCTGATGAGCACAGAACAAATAAATGTACAAATGTGACAGGCAAGGAGTAGTGAGGTGTACATACCCAGTACTTTTCAGGGGTACACTAACCCAGGGAAGGAGCAAAGCTCTGGGGAGAGATGCTGTGTACACAAACCAAGGCAAGGGATCCCTCTTATTGTGGCCGAGCTCCCCAAGAGCATTGCTGGGATCCATGAGCAGTTGCTAGGACTGGAGAACTACTGAAAACCACCATTCCCATCTCACCCACCATGCCCATTAGCACCTTTAATCAGTTTTACCTAGTCATAGTCTCGGAGGGTGTTTAAAGGAGGATGGGAGTAAGAAGAGAAGTTTAAACGTCTTTTTGTTTCCAGCACTACACAAGTACTCATATAAGACTGGATGACTCAGAGGGTCAGATGCATAGCCTGCCACCTCCAAGATTTTTATTTCACAACTGTTTTGGGTTTGTAATAACTGTAGGACTGAATTTGATCCCCTCCCCCCCCCCCCGCCCAGATTCAGAAGCACTCTTATTGGCTTATATTAATTTTATGAAGTTAACTCTCTTAAGTAATTTCTACAGTTATGGCTTCTTATTGATTTGCAAAGATTGGTCAGAAATAAATTGAAAGACAAGTTGCAATAAGAAATAATAAGAGTAACTCAACTTTATTTTTGTTTGTGGTAGTGATATCAACTGAAAATACAGATGATCTCCTTAGGTTATGGTTCTAGAACATGGGGAATTACAAGGAGTGTGTGTTTTCCCCAGGGTACAGAAGAACCACCGAAACTGTAGATGAATAAATAGGTATGTTAAGCAAAGGTGCAAAAGTGATTTTATATACCTAGGATGCAAAATTAATTTAGAGGCTGGAGAGCCAAAAGATATGGGAGTGGGAAGGCAGCACATTTGAATTTTGGGTACTAAAACACCAGCAAATCAAAATCCAGCATAGTAGAGACATCTTCTAAATGTGAAATAAAAAAAAAAAAAAGCCCACAAACAAAAATATCAGCAGAAACCTTTGCCCTCTTCAGTAACACTGAGTATGACTCATGGCTTTGTGAATTTTGTTGGGTGGTGGTACAAAAATTGTTCTATCTACTACTGACAGATGATAGGTTTCTTGCTTTAAAAATATGAAAACAGCTTGATCTCACGTACCTTGGTTTAAAAATAAAGCTCTTTTTATAGCACGTCTTGATTTTGACAACCATACTGTGCAGTAAATACTGGATTACATGTATGAGCACATTTTAAAAGCCTAAACCATACTCTTATTTTAGAGGTAGGCTGATCCTTTGAATTTATGAAGTCCTCAAAAAGAGGACTCACAGCTGAACGTAATGGCTCTTTGTGTTGTGGTTGTGGGTTCAGCTTTGAATTTAGAATGCATTTTCTGTTCTGGTAGCTTTCTGAAATTTAATTTATTTAATTTCATAGATGTGTAAATACTAAGTTATCCATCTTTATGTGATGGTAAGCCTGGAATAAATCTGCAGGAGTGAAATGCAACTGAATCTATAAGTAAAATTGTTTCTTCTTCATATTGCAGAGCACAGATAACTCAAATATATCTATAATTGCTCAGAACAAAAAGTGCTTTGACAATGATATTGTTTGCTCAAAGAATGTTTTCGTCACAGTTGGAGACACTGAGATTTATTTTAGTGAACTTTCTGAGAAACAGGTTAGTTATTTTCTTTTCTTTTCCGGTTGCCCTTTAAGATAAGCATTCTAAAGTTACAACTCTGAACGAGCGTGGTTTTGGAAAAAGTCTCTCAGTCTGTGTTAACATAATCCAAGTGCCTAGGTCTGGATAAAGCAGCAGGTCCCAGGAACAAATCTCCTTTTACACTGTTCTATTTGTCCTTACAAAGAAGACTGCTCAAGAGGCTCAAGCAATCAAAGCATACTGGAACTTATGCAGTTCTTTCCACTTGGTTTTGAAAGAGAAAGCAAAAAAAAAAAAAAAAGCGAACTTGAATGATTAAAAAAACATAATATCTGACATTTCTAGTAGTGTCATTTATGACATATGTCAATATGACATTTCTAGTAATAGTATTGATTCAGCTATATGATAAAGATAAAATATTATTCAGTGTACACTTTATTATTAATTGGCTGCATACCTGCATTACCCTATTAGATCTTAATAAATATTCATTTTTGTCAGAAGACCTTAAGGGGAAAGGAAAACAAATCTAAATATCAGCTTTGGAAGGCTGGATATTATACTGTGATACACTTTCCAGAACAAGATATTACGATTCTGTGGGATAAGAAGACAATGATGCATATTAAAGTTGGACCTCGATGGAAGGTGAGCCCAAATAAAAATCTGAGATTTGTAGCTCCCTGTGTTGGCCATGTGATCTAGGGGTTGAATAGCTGTGGTTGATTGTCTTCTTTTCATGACTAACTTTGCCAGTGATATGACTGTTTATCATGGTGTTCAGCTGCTAGCATTTCCCAGGTCAGAATAGACAGGGAATGTGATTTTATGGTTGGATTCCTAAAGAGAATTAGTAGTTCCTACATGTTTACTCTGTTGTTCCACACATCACAACCTTGCAGATACACAGTGATTTAGCTCTAGGTTACTTTGAGGGTGGGAAGAGAGGGTTAGTTTTGTGTTACCCAGTTCACTGCATGTTTTCATACTTGCTGAAGCCAATGAAAAAGAATCTTCCATATCTAGCAATATGGAAGATGGCAAGTTTGTAGCACAGATTGAATTAGGCTGATGATGGAGCCACACCCTGAGATGTAGTAGAGGCTGCTGAGATGAAAAGATGGAGTCACATCTTGGGTTTAAATTAAGAAGGCAAGATGCAAGAAAGGATCTAGACAAAACCTGACATTTAAACCTAGTAAGTATACTGTGATAGGGCTCAGCCATTATGCAGGAAAGAATATAAGGCTCCTTCTCTTACCAGTTGCTCTTCTCTGTTCCATTCCTATATCGTCATCTGCCTTGGTGTCTCTGGAACTCAGTCTTTGGGTCCTGGCAGAGTAACCTTATCTGCACATTCAATAATTACATTCCTGCTTTGTCTCAGCCATGAACACACTTATTGAGAGGGGGCTGTTTCCAGTAAAAGAAAAGGAAGTACTCTATGGTAGAATACAATACCAGAGTTTTTGAAATATAAGTCAAAGTTACAGTGATTATCTAATCTGGTTTTAAAGCAAGATTATGATAGGCTTTTGTCCCAGTAACCATCAGATGCTTCATGTACAAGCTGATTTATCAGTCATCAATACACACTGTGTAAAAAAATTCCTCTGTTTTTGTATGGGCTAGCAGGGATCTGAGTTCTACAGGTTGCATGCAGCAGCACAAGTATTTCAAGCTCTGTTTCCAATTACTGTTTCTTCCAGAGGCTCCAATTCAGTAAGATAGTGTCTGCAGCAGACCCTAAGGGAAAATAATTCAATAGAGTGAGCCACAGCACCCTAGAAGTCCAACTCTACATTTTAGTGTTGTGCACAAATATATTTCCCTATACATGTAGATGTGTGTGCATTTATATATACCTTTTCCACCAGCAGCACATGCCCCAACACAAGAAAGCTGCAGCTGTCTCTTTTGTAACTGCTATTACAAATGTTCTAGTTACTGTGAGCTAAAATTAGAGGCAGCAAGTTTTAACAATAACTGGTCAGGCTTCACAATCATGAGGTAATTCACCTGAACTTTTGACTTTTGGATAGCATACGCTACTAAGCTTTCAGAAAAAAAATACTACTAGATTCCAGTCCCTTTTCACAGGCAGACAGTAAGAACAGGTTCTGGAAAACAGGAATGAAAAGGAAAACATACATTTCTATTAAAATAGAAATTTGCAATATGGGAACTGTAAACATAGCAGAGAATGAGATATTTTCAAAGTGTAAGTTAGAGTTGCATTCATCTTTTCAGTTTAAGAATGTTTTATTCCATACATGTGGTTGTACCAATCATTGTCTGTAAGTATATGTAAAAAGGAAAATAAGCCTTCTTCTCTTTTAGGGTAAACTGGCAGGTTTGTGTGGAAATTTTGACAAATATACTTCAAATGATCTGACTACCTCAAACAACATGGAGGTGAGAAATGCACAGGTGTTTGGAGACAGCTGGGTATTAGGACAGGTAAGTCCCATGATCAGGAAAATATTAGCAAAAAAGGATGATATTTTTAATTTATAAATGAACACATGATAAGCACATAATGTACAGGGGTTTTCTAAACTCATGGTCAGTGTATAACAGCACATTTTAATTTTTATGTCTGTAGATGTGAAATCTGTTATTTATGTCTTACGTCATAGTAAACACACACTGAATTTAAATGAAACCAAACAATCTCTTTAGGGAAGAATATATATTTTCCCTATGTCAGATAATTGTCTTAGCTGTCTGGATTTCAATTCTGTACAAAGTTTGATACATTGCTTCTGATGGTTTGGATGCAATTTTAAAAGCAATTGTAATTTCTCTGGTGTTGGAGGCGTCAGGATACTGAAAGTAAAAACAGTCTGGAAAAACGTTTCTTTCTCAACACTGAAAAAAATGGGATTATTTTTAGTTGCAGTTTGTAAACAGAGAACTAACTGATGAAGCAGCAGTGGTGAAGGGGTGAGACAGAAAGGGCTCAGAACAGCAACAGGCACAATCAAATATGGAAACTTGGTTTCCAAGGAGAAGGGAAGAAGCTATAGAGAGTGGATGACTGCAACTGTGTTCTACAACACAGGAGAATAGGTATTTTATTAATTTGTGCTGAGATGTGAGGTTTTATAGCCTTATAAACCTCCTGAAAAATCAGTATTTGTAAAGCACTCCCTTAGGAGATCTGTGAGAACCAGTTTTTAGTCTTTCCTTGACTCACAGCAGGAAACTGAACCAAAATCTCTCACCTCATGAAAGAATATGATACTTATTCTAATTTGGAGTAAACATTTTGAGGCTTCTCTCTCTCAATATCTCCCTTTAGATCTATTTTACTCTACATAATCTGTTTAGATTGGGTGAGCAAGCAAGGCCAGTGTGTAGTGGTGGTGGTTACACTGCTCACCTAGAAGGTGGTACATAAAGAAAAGTAAAAAGGCTTTGAATGAATTATACGAATTTTTCTTTCCAGTTTGTCAGTTCAGTGGCTGCTTTAAAAAGGTGTGTAGTGCTTACATAGCACATTAACTTCTAGGATGTTTTGACCTTTGCTTATGCAGCCCAAACTTGCACTTGCCTTTTTTTTTACCATATATATATATATTTGTAAAATCTCATATAATCTTCTGATCTATTTGGCTGTCAGAGCACTCGGTATTTGAGTTTGATATTGGCATTGCAGGCAGCCTGCATTCAGCCAGACTTGACACTTCATCTATCTCTGCAGTAGGAATTAAAGATATTTTCAGAAAGGACCTTTGGCCTTTGTAGAGATGGATCCTGGTCATCTCTTCTGCAAAATCTAAGTACTTCAAATGTGTATTTGATAGCTGGAGGCTTAGAACCCAACTTTGCTACTGGTAAGCTTTCATTGGCACCATGAAGCATGAGATGCTTCCAGGGTTTTTCCCTCCTGGGAGTGGCAGTGTGTCCCCCCATGGCCAAGGATCTGCACATGAAGGTAGTGCAGGCAGCTGCACTGCCGCTGAGTTGGCATCAGAACACCCCATTGCTGCCTATGGATCCGTCATTAGCTTCTCCTGGCTTCCCTGCTGCACCGAGAGAGTATGGTTTTGGATGGGCTCGTGTTTTCTGAGCTGAGTGTCATTTTGTTACATTTCTTCTGTCTGCTAGTTTTTCTTGTTGAAGAGAGGGAGATGTAACTCAGTCATTTTTGAGTTATCATGATGATCTTTGATTCTTTTTTTTTTTTTTTTATGGGTTGCTCTCTTCCTACCACTGCTTCTTTATTTGAACTTACAGGCTAAAGCCATCTGTATTCTGGCTCCATTTAAAGTCAGTGCTAAACCACCAGGGATGGATTTGGATCATGTATTTGTTTGTAATGTTACAGTTGGTTGCTCTGGTAATGATTATAATGTGTCACAAAGAAAACATTTTGTCTTTATGGGCTGAGCAGACAACAGGAACATTTCAGTACTTCAGAACAAAACACAAAGATTCTTTTTTTTGTGCAAATGTTTTCAGTTATAACAACAAATTGGGAAAAGGGGGAGATGAAGTAGATAGAATTTAAGCTTTATTTTGATTTTCTGAGTATGCAGGTATTGAATTATGTGATATTACAGTGAGCCTGAGTCCATGGTAAACACATCTTTATATAAAATGCTTGTGGTGTTTTTGTTGTTTTTCAGTGCAAGAGCCCAAATGAAACGCTAAGGCCATGTGAGGTACATCAGAGCAAGTTCCCTTATGCCAAAAAGGAATGCTCAATTTTATACAGCGATGTTTTTGCACCTTGTCGCAATGTGGTAAGTTTATTAAATATTCAAGATGTGCTCTCCTGTAGGAAAATAGCAAAATTCCAGCGATTATTTTTTTCTTTCCATTTCCCGTCAGTCCAAATGCCATGGAGGATACAAAGTAGAGCCCTGCAAGTATCTCTTTGTGGGTGGGCTATTTTTGTGCAGAGCTCCTTGTTCCTTTCAAAGGCTGGAGCCTAAACGTGCTAGTGGTAACTGGGAGCCATGAGTTAGCAGGCTGGATAATGAAGTTTCTGTTCTCTTTAGGTTTTATTTATATCTTTTATTTATAGAGGTAATTATATTTTTATTTTTTTTGTATATATTGCAGGATTCTAAAATAAACGTTTGTGTGATGTGCCTACAGCTTATCTCAAATGAGTTTGTTAACTGTCCTGCTCAATATGAAAAGAAATATGAGCGACTGAGATTTCAGCTTCAGAGCTATCAGTATTTTTAATTGGCTGACAGCTTATCATCCGTTTTTTATCAAAACTCTGAGGTTTGGTGTCCTTGTTTTCCCAGTACCTGGCTGAGCCTGGGGCTTCAGTTACAAGAACATCCTTAATTTCAGTCTAGCAAATAGCTTGTGTAGAAATCTTTGATTCCATTTTAGTTCACCTTTTATCAACAAAACACCCTATACATTTTTCCCAATATCTGGTTCTAGCCTCTATTTATCGAAGTTGCTTCTTTACACCTGTGCAAGCAAGAACCACTATGACATTTTGTATTGGTCTCTCGTTTTCTTTATGACAATTAATGCTAAATGATATTATTAGATGTCTCAGCTGAACCTCCTGACTTTCAGGACTGAAGCTTGATATCAACATGGTTAGGAATTTGACGGAGGGGGAGGTTGCAGTAGCTTAATGCGAGAGATTTATTACTGTTGAATTCAGTTACTATGTAAAGAATTTTTTGAGCATGTGCCTGAGAACATGGTGATGAGGGTATTTTTGAAATGGAAAGTAATAAATAAAATGGAACTTTTGAGAGTTTTTAAGGAACTGCATCATTATAACCCATAAAGAAAGATGTTTTCTCTTGAACATTCATTTTCTGTATCTTATCCATGTTGTCCTTAAAATTTGCAAACACTATGACAAAAATTTAGCATAATTATGTTAAAAAAGTAAAGGTAAAGTGACCCCTATTATGGATGTCTGCAGCTGACTGGTGGCAGCATGGCTGGGGAACTGGCTGCCAAGAAAAAAGCCCAAGCAGAGACTGACACTAGGGTCATGGAAAGAAAAGAAAGTGCAGATATGGGTTTCAGGATGTTCTTTGGAGCAGCTCTCTTACACTCCTGCTGTGTGAGTCGTGGAGGATCCTGCTGTTCATGGAGCTCAGCTGAGGTTGGAACCTCCCATTTTCAGGGAAACAAAACATTGCATCTCTGGCTGGAAGTGACTGATGGGCTGTGGTTGCCCAGCTGAGCACTGAACTCATCAGGGTTGAGGACCCTCAACACTTGCAGTAAAGAAGTCTTCCTCATAACTCCTTAGCTCAGCAGGAGCTTTGACCCAAGGCTCCCAGTTTGTCCCAACTGCAGGATCTTTTCAACCCATGGGGAGATGCTGTCCTGCAGACATGAGACAGGTCTTTGGATCCAATCTGCTGTTTGGTGGTTCCTGCAAAGCTATTAGAACCATTTTCAATAGATCCAACACTCATGGCCCCCACACCAGTGCTGTCCCTGTTTTTGAAATGAGGAAAAGAATGAAAGCAAAATGGCATCTTTCTCCAGTGAAAGCAGAAAAAAAGTCTTCATGTCCCTGACAGCTTCTAGCAACTGCCAGCTGACAAGCTGTCTCTGTGTTAGATAAGTGCTGCTTTGTTGCTGTGATGGTATTTCTGTAATCTGACATGTGCCATTTGAGGGCTCTACAACTGAGCTAGCCTAGAGTCTAAACTGAAGAAAAGCATTGCTCTAAGCATTGCATGTGTTGAGTAGTAAGAACATTGTTTTGGAAACACGGCTTAACCTTACAAAAAAGAAATAGTATACCATGTGAAAACACGAACTAATGTGATAACATTTTAGAGTGAGATACGGGTTTCTGATCTAATGAAATTTGTGGGCAAAGTATATTAAAGTCTTTATAAGTGCAGGAATATTTTTCTGCAAAGGATCACTTGATCTTTCTTTCACTAATCAAAACTCCCTTTACAAGTTATTACTTTAATTACTTTATAATCAGAGCTGCATCTCCCTGCACTGTTGTTCTTTGTGCAAAACTGACAGGATAACTGTAGATGGCAGTATTTGCCTTACAAAAACAGAACTGCCAGCTTCAATATACACTCCAAAACTGATGAACAGCAAGTGTGTGGACAGACATGTTAATAGTCACTGATTGAAATTTTTTCTTGGCCTGTAACATACGTACAAACTAATCATTCAAAGTGTATTTTTTGTATAGGAATGTACCCAAACCTTAGAAAATACCTTATTTTTCTGTTAAATCCTTTCAGTTCATCCAGAGGTAGCACTTCTGCTGTAAATGGTGCAACAGGAATTTGTACAGCTCATGCAATTCAGTCTCCAACCCTCTTTTTCTTTTATTTATTTATTTTTCCCCAGATTGATGTGACTTCTTTTGTCAAAAATTGTCACACAGATACGTGCAACTGCAACCTTGGTGGGGACTGCGAGTGCTTGTGTACCAGTATTGCAGCTTATGCCCACAAGTGCTGCCAGCAAGGAGCACCGATTCACTGGCGATCTCCTTCCCTCTGTGGTATGTACCTGGGCTGGCCTCACATTGGAGCTCATCTTTGAGGCATCTTTGGCCTTTTTCTGCCCAATAATACAAATGTGACAGAATCAGGTGCATAATAAGTGCCCTTCTTCACCATTTTCAAGCTGTCTCTGTGTTAGCTCTTAGTGTTATACACCCAAATTTGCTGTATTACTGAAGGGGGCTGTCTGGGCTCAGGGTGTGCCAGTGCAGAGAGTGTTGGAAAGGCACTGGTATACCAGACCTGGGGTGCGTCCAGTGTTCTGTGTAGGGCTGCATAGAGCTTCAGTCTATTCTACTTTTCACAGATGGTGAAAAGTAGAATAATTCATGCTGTCAGCTATAGATTAATTAATGCTTAAGGTCTGCTGTCCTAACACATCTGTTTAAATACAGCTGTATGTCTCTAAATAAAAGCCTAAGGAAATAAAGTCATTCACTGAAACTCCCTCTGATGAAAGTGAACTTTACATTTTTAGAATGCAGATATACATAGATTCCGATGTTACTTTGTAATAATAATGTGCTTGTTTTCATTTCTTTTAGCTTATGACTGTGATTATTACAATCAAGGTATGTAGCATTTGATATTACTATATTTGATTCATCCTTATATTTATATATGTTGCTGAATCTACTTTTCAGGTTTTCTATTCTAACATCTTTCTTTCTGTATGATACTATTTTGAGATGTTAATTTCTCCCCTCCTCATTTTCTTTTTCAAAACCAAATACCCAGGACACACTTTTCTTACATTGGTTCACTCAGACTAACCATGGAAGAAAATATAGTTTGATAATTTCTGTCTTTCCCAGGTTAGATTGTGTTTTTTTGCACTCCTGATTTGGGTATGTGTGGGTATTAACGAGCTCAGCAAGTTAGTAAAGCAAGTCCCCATGGGCCTTTTTCCTCTATGTCCAGGGATGGTGGTGGCATGGAAACAAACATAGTTGTAAGCAAAACAGCACACCTGGCATCTCAGATGAAACATGATACAATGAACTGTGCATATAAAACCCTTAGCAGCTTGCGCTGAGAATCTCTGTCAGTTGCAGCAGTGCTGGAGGTTCTTCTTTTTCCTTTCTCCCCATTCCCTAGGGTAGGATTTCATAGTCACAATACCTTGAACTTACTGGACCTTCGAGTCCATTAAAAAAGAGAGGTGACTTGTATGAGCAGCCTGGAGCATTATATGTCATTTTGCAACATACTCCTTGTCTATTTAACCTCATTATATCATTATGTGACTTTTTCTTTCCTCCTGTTCTGCTATGGATATCTAAAATACTGTTTTTTTTTTCCTGTGTGATATATCACTTGAGATCTGTCCTATACAAACATACACAATCCTGCATTAGTTAGGAATTCAAATACTGATGCACTAGTGTGCATCTTAGAAGGTTACACATGGTTATTAACATTTGAATTTTCACCTCACTGAACTAGTTGCCTTTGACACAGGAAAATTCAAGTGCTTTTCTCCAGAAATGAATGGTGTGGATATAATGCATCTCTGATGATACTGAGTTAATCACAGTTACATAAATCAGAATAATAATTAATTTGGTGTAATTTTAGGGGTAAAAATAAAAAACCCTCACAATTCTATGAATGCTTATCACACTATGCAATTATTTTATATGTTTTCATTCTGATGTGGCTTGCTTTGTTTTACTTTTTCTTCTGTGTTTTCATACAAAAGACATTGATCTGATTCAATTAAAACCTCAGTTGAATTAATTCATGGGCTTTTTCTTTGAGTTTGTGTATGTAGCTTTAAAATTGCTTCTATTTTTAATGAGTAAAGGTCAGTGGCCCTGCTGTGTTGAACAATCTTAGTAGTCCCTAATGTCTCAATTAATAACCTCATCATATTCAATGTGGGGGTAAATAAATGCACCCTGCAGCACATCTTGGCAGTAAAGGAGAAGCAATAGAAGGATGTTACCTTGCATTTCTACTGTAAATTTAAAAACTGGAATCTATTATATTTTAAAATAGAAAGGTTACAGGTTTTTATGCACAAGTCTCACAAGTATTGTACTATAAAGGACAGTTCTTTAGAATGAGGAATTCTTAATTCTTTTAGCATCCCCACTTATATTTAGATAATATGCATGTGCTTTGTGTGGAGCAAGATATTGAAAAGCAAAGGAAACGACTAAATGCAATGAAATAAATGTGACTTTTGATACATTTTTTTTAGTGGCTTGCATCCTATAATGATCATCATACAAGGAGGATTTTTTTCTCCTCCGAGGAGTCTGGCCCAGTACAGTAGCAGCATGTAGATGTGAGTGGGCAGCTGTGTGGTGCTTAGCTGCCTACCACAGTTAAGGTCAAGGATGGTGTTATGCATGTTTCTACCACAAAGTGCCAGCAAAACACCTTTTGGGACTAGGATTCTCTTTTGCTCTGCATGATTTCAGACTGTTAATCTTTAAGGAAACTCCTGCTTTTGTTCAAGTCCTAGGCAAAATGTCTGTTAGTATGTAGGGATAAGCATTCAATGACAGAATAAAGGATTGTTTTGAGATAAATTGTCTTTCCATTTCTTTAAAAGTGGCAAGCCTGTGGGCTTTATGTATATATGAGCTCCAAAATAGCTGTCATATAAAAACAGTAGTTATTTTCAAGCAGTTTTGTTTAGAAATCAGTGTTTAACTTCTAGATGAGGCAAATCTCATTATTATGAGAATTCCTTCTCTCTTGGAAGATTCATACTTGAAAGGAGCTGTCTTAGGCTGGGAAAGGGTTCAGTCTTTTCACTGTAAGGATTAAAACCTTTTACAAAACCTACACATTTTGTTTATTACTCACAAAGTAAGGTTTTAGAAGTATGCTGCTCTTGGTTCTTTCAGTGGGATATAGTGACAAAGATGGTTGCTGTTATATCTGTATGTATCCCTTCCAGCAGAAGCTGGAACAGAAACAGCTCCAGAGGTTTGCTGCAGGGCATGGTTAGGCCAGCACTGTTTTGGCAGCAGTACTAGCTGAGGCTGTTGTCACTTTTCTATTGGCATGAGCTTTTGAATAATGATGTGGTGAACCAGACTGGAAAAATTAGCTGGTTGATTTTCAGCTGGACTACTTCACTGCTGAAGCACTTAGGAGGGCATAATAAATGGGGCAGTAGGGGGGCAGAAGCAAGTGGCTTGTGGTAGAGGATGAACTACACAACTGCTTAAGCAATATTGTGCCAGAAGTTGAATATAATTTGATTTTTTTTTTTTTTTTCTGGGAGAAATTGGCTTGTGTTCTTAAAGCAGCTTCAGTGTCTGTGTGGGAAATAATATTAAAGTTGCTCTGTTGAATTCAGATTCTTTCAAATTATAGAAACAAGGACATGTAAAAGACTAAACACCATAAAAAAGCAGCCCAGATTGCTTTCTTGTACAGGTCATTTTGTGAGCACAGCTGCCCACAGTTCTTTGTGCTCATTTTGTATCTGTGGTTTTCTGGGCAGCTAGCAAAGAATAAGGGGGTATATTGAACAGACAGATACAGACCTACACCAGTGTAATAACTTGGGGCATTGAGCTGTAATTCCAATGTATTTAAGACAATATATTATGTTAACTCAGATTTTGTATATTATGCAAGGAGGATTTTTCTTTTTCTATTTTGATTTTTCTCCCCTTAGGTCTTGGTGAAGGACCCTATATTTTGGCAAGTTACGGACAGAATGACACAATCATAGGAGCTAATATATCTAGTAGAAGGATATTTCCTCTGCCTAGAGCTGGAGCATATGGAAATGTATTTTTCAGCTTCATGATAACTCCAGGGCTTTTCAAAGATAAAGATTTATGTAAGTGTTCTCAACAATTTGCTAATGGCTTGCATATTTTTCAGACTATATGAATGATTTTGGATGATTTTTGCTGAATCTCCTAAAATAGTATAGATATTTTTAGTTATTGGAATAAGCGAGATTGAAGCAGCCAGCTTCAAAACTGAGGAATGCTGGGGTTCTTATTAAAAAAAAAATAAACTGCTAAACCTCACTGCCAGCTTTAAAGCCAACTTTTCAAAGGTTTTTGAAAACATATTGCAAAATACAAGTAATTAGAATTCCTTTGTGGAAGATAAATGCAGGATACTTTCATCTCCAGTAATATCACTTCTACTTTATCTTTTCTTCTTTTTTGCAATTTTCAGTGGACTATAAAATATGCAACTTAGAACAACCAATACGTCTCCTGCACTGTCAGTGAACAGCATCTCCATACAATGTAGAAGGCAGTTTCTTAGGTGGAAAGCTCAGAAAGATTCCTGAGCTCTACTTTTCGCTTATCAGAGATTGATCCAAACTATACAACCAAAAATAATTGTTTAATATTTTTTCTTCTGTATACATTTTGCTGTCTTCACATGAACTTATTTGTGCTGATCAAGTCAATACAGATTTTGTCATTGCTTTCTCAAAGAATTTAATTTGTTGAAAAAAATCCCAAACCCTGAAAAATCAAGATAGAGAAGTGCTGTCTTGGTAAAAATTGAAACTATATTCACAAACAGTTGAGAAATTAGGGTTTTATATATGATTTCTGAATGAGAAAGTACATAGGGCAGAAGAATTGATTGTCTTGTCAATTCCCCAACTGATGTAAAGTGGAAGTAAAACATTCATTATGTCTGTGTGGCACACAGCTAGCCTTTATATCTGTGAGGAATTAGATAGTATTGATCTACATTAAAGACACTTCAAGATTTTATTCAAGTTGAAAACCAAATTTGAAGTCAGTCTTCTAAGTTCTTTTCAGAGAATTTTCTTCACTTTTGATTTCCATCATGCATAGAGCAAATAGAAGGTTGAGTCTTTTCTTGGGCCACAGGTTTTCTTACTGTATTGCTGGATATAACCGTATGTAAAACAAGCTTGGCTTCAAGGTGAATTCAAGCACGTTCTTACAAAATTTGCATGGTGTTTTTTACTAATGAAAACTTGGTACAGTTGAACTGTTAGTTATTAGTCCTAATTTGAGAAAAAACTCCCAATCTGAGCAAGTCCCAGTTTCAGACTGCTTATGAATAATTTCAAAAGCTGGTAGCAGTAGACAATATAGTTTTGATCTAACTGATTGGCTTTATGCTAATTTCTGATTATGTGGTCCTTTGAAGTCTCCTTTAGACCCTGCATTTCTAAACTTGTTTTTCCTTTGTTACATAAACGTGAAATAATTCCTGTGAAAACCAGCTGTTTAAAAAGGAACCACTTAACAGATAATATATAGATTTTAATCCACTTTTAAGGTTTTTTCTGTGAAAATTTTACTATTCTTTTTATTTCCTTTTCTTTTGTGGAAGCTCTCTCTCTCGTTTCCCTTGAATCTGCTGAAAGACCAAACTACTTTCTATATGTACATGACAATGAAACTGCTGGGTTGGAACAGTGGCAGGCAAGTGACTCCTTTCAGAGACGAGCCACCTTCTTCCACCACCAGGGCCTCTGGAGTCCAGGGCTCAGCGCCTTCGAACTGCACAGTAAAAAAGGCTTTTTCATCATTCTCACCTCATCTGGTGTTAAAGTGGCAAAGTATGATGATTCAGAAGAATTCAAACGTTTGAGTAGCTTTAGTATTGAAGGTAAATTTTGCATTTTGCAGTACCTTCACTATGTTTAACTGATTTTGAAGGCTTTATAGACAATATATTGTAAAAGTGAGTAGCTGTTTGTAACTTGAAACTTGACGCTGCAGTGTCTTTTAGCTTGACAGAATATAAAATGCTTGAAACTGATAATGAACAAAATCTCACATATTCACAAGTTCTCAAGAATTTCTCAAATTTTTTATTTTTTCTGAAAACTCCATTGTACAGTATAAAAAAGACTATAAATTTACAGTTTATTGACTACATAATAAAAAAAAATACCTTTTCCTTCTTTCTCAGAACTCAGTGCCTCTGTGCCTTATAGAAGAATGTGTGAGTGGCGATACGAATCTTGTGCTAATCCTTGTGTTAAAACCTGTAGTGATCCTGAAGGAATAGCATGCAAATTCCTTCCTCCGTAAGTAAAATTAAGCTTGTATTGCTACCCTATTGATTTCTGTAATACGTGTACCATAGGCTTTCTAAGAATGACTGCAGCTGCAATATCCACTCGTATTTACTCATCCAGATTTCAGTATCATTCTTGTGAGCAAGTCTCACAAGTCATATGAAAACAATTGTAAAAAGCTTCTTGTTTCTCACGGTATACATTCCTGTTTACCTTTGACCTTTCAACACCAGCATAAGAAAAGTCTATACTTAGCCCAGGGGATTAGCTTCTGGTAGTGGATGAGTAGAAATCTATTAAATTAAATGCAGGCTATATCCTTCTATGTATTGATATTCACATCCTAACCCACGATTCTCTGAATGGCTACATCTTTCTGGTGTTTATGAGATCAAAACCTGTAGAAATAGTAAGGGTGGGCTATGTCCTCTTCTGTAAGAGAAGGGAACTTTATAATAATAGATATTGGCATGATGTGAGGGATTTCACACAGGTGATAACTTGTCACTTGGTAATAAGATTTCCTGTCTCCATGGATCTCCCCTGTCATGTCTGGAACCACAACAAACTAAAAAGAAATATCCCAAGAGGAAAATCAGGTGGAAAAGAAATGATGTTTTGCACTTCAGATGACTTCCCTAGGCATATGCAGTTTATGATTAGGAATATTACTAGTATTACTAACTTCCCCTGTTGGTATTCTTACCTTTTTCCATATGGGGAAACTGGTTGTTAATGTCATGACCTTCTCATTAAAAAAATCCCCCCAAATGAAAAAGAGACTATATGGACTTGTCTGCACTCTTCCATGCTGAAAATGCACAAGAATGAGACTTTTGATGGAGTCAGTCTAAATATTTAAATGTTTCAAGTGAACATATCTGGGTAAGACAGCAGTTTTGTCAAGAAGTTCTGTGTCCATGGGAAACCTTTGTGCGCAGGGATCTGAACTTCCTCTTGTTTTTGGAAGCAGAATGGTCCAAAACTATCATGCTTGTCAGTCTATGCAAATAATTGACTGTTAACAATTTAGAAATAATTGATTATTAACAATTTAGAAATAGAACTGTGCTCTTCAATGTCTTTTTGACCTTAAATGCCTCAAATGTTGTGTTTGTCACTACAGTGGAAAGTTCTCTAAACTCTGATGGGGAAGATATTCAAGTGTTTCATTTTGCCAAAGTAAAATAAGTTAAAATTAATCTACCTTTCTCCTGTGGCTTTAGAATTAACCATACACTGTTTTAAAGGGTTGAAGGATGCTTGCCATACTGTCCCAAAAACATGATCCTTGATGAGGTCACACTTAAATGTGTTTATCCAGAAGACTGTAAGTATACTTTATTATATTGGTCTAATCTTATAAATCACTCTAAAGATCCATGGAAAAGTTTTAACCAAATGAACATTCTATTTTTTGATAAATATCTTACTGCTGAACTTACACTCCATTTTGAGTAATCTAAAACAAATCTCCTACATCCAAACAAGCCATAGCTAAAGTTAACTTCTTTTAATTTCTCTAATACTGTGTTAAATTTAACCTTCTGTGATGACGTTATACTAATTGCAACTATATTTGACTATACACTGTGCTAGTGTATCATGTGTGTATAAGACAAAGATCTCAAATGGAGGAAATACTGCTGTGGTGAAAAGTTCAGACTTTTCAGTTTATAAGCCACCAGTAACAAATTCAGTGCAACTATTTCATAACTTCTGGTGTGTGACAACACCGCATTATTTGCTTATTCTGGGAAACAGTATTCTTCTAACATAACAATTACATTTAATACTGCCTCTTATTTTATTTTACAAGTTTCAAATTAAATACATTGGTTGTGTGCACATTTGCTGGTGCAAAGTTACCTCACAGTATACTACGTTCCAAAGATTTATTTATTCAAAATGTTTTACTATTTTGAATATACTGAATTCTCAATAGAATTCCCTTGTTGCTTCTATAATTGCTTTGCAAAATCAAGATTTTCACTAATAATAAAAAAATACCTACTTCATTCGCAAACAAAATCAGAAAACCGGAATCAGGTGAGTTTCTCAAAGTCATTAGACAACGTGGAACCACTGGCAAGTTACCTTCTCAACAAAATGATGCTCTGGTTTGTTAATGTTTAAATGGAACTTGAGTAGAGATGTTGCTATTCTGCTTTATCAGTAATCTGTGAAAGACAGTGAAATATGCTTTTTTTTTTCCTTTTAGGCATACCTTTGACACCTACAGAATCAGCAATTGGAACAAAACCTTCATTGCTAGTCTCTCACACGGGTACTACCACAGAGTGTCCTCAGACACCTCCTTTATTTGTTACTTCAGGGACTAAGTCAACCCATGCTGATGTGACAGGCAAAATAACCATGAAAGCAAACACAACTTTAAGGGGAATGAATACATCGGCACAGCCCGTCACAGACGCTTATTCATTGGAAGCATCTAATGCAGCCATCTACTCAATGTTTTCATTATCAAGTACAGTGGAGCCTTCCGATGTACTTCACAGCACAGCCAGCCCTACTGTCCTTTCCACACTCACCTCTTCAATAGATTTTCCAACAGCTCTTCAAGCCTCACCAGTCACATCACATACTGTCATTTCTGCATCTATAACTTTATCCATTACAATAGCAAGTCTAACAACCCCGCTCAGTGCAAGTTCTTTTACAACACATTTATGTGTTGTGGTTCAATTTCCACCTGAAACATCAACCACTCAGCTAGAAACTGTTCCCCCCTACCTCATTATTAACAACTTTAACCTCCAAGCCATCTTTTGTCACTTCTGAGCTGCCTCCAGGGATTGGGAAGAGTAGGACTTCTTCAGTAAATCATTCTAAGGGAGCAGCAGTACCCTCTGAAGTGTCTTTTACTGTTTTGCTGGCTGACAGAGCAACTTTCACAAGACATGTATTTCTTCTAGGTTCACAGCTGCCACTAAGCACATCTACTATATCTCCTATATCTACTTTGTTAGAACCATGTCTTGCATTGGTCAAACTGCAGTTCACCCAACACCCATTTCTGTACTGAATTCAGTCTGTCCTCAAATTCCAGCTACTAGATTTGCTAACTTTGATACAGGTTTTCCTCAATTAACCACTGTTTCATATTTTGAAATAGCAAAACCCTTGTCTAAAACTTCTCTGACATCATTAAATGCAAGTTTTTTAGCTAGTTTTTCTCCAAAGCCATTTTTATCTTTAGTAGAAATTTCAGTTCTCAAGCAGGTATCTCCTTTAATAAAAGACAGTGTTTCTTCTACTCTCCCCATAGTGGCAGTATCTTCACCTCAAGTTGCTTCTCAAATTCCTACAAATACTTCTTTGGTCCTTCCGAAACACGCACAGTATCTATAACAGTGTGTTCTCTGATTATCTCCTTGGAACCAAAAACTATGGTGAATGTCACCGTTGCCTCCGAAAGTCTTTACAAAGTACCTTCCTCAGTTTCCACTTTTCCCGTCAATCCAATAATCCCTGATGTGTCTATAGCAAGTAGAGCCTCAGCAAAAGCAAAACATGTAACGCACATTGATCCCTTTTCAACGTCATCCATTTCTAAAAAAGCTAATGAAATCCATTATGTCTACAGTCTTCCCTCTTAGAACACTGGTATTACCTGTAAATGCTACATTAATAACCACTTCAGAAGTAACAGATTACCCAAGCTGTTCACAGACATGAAAACTGACGCTGTGGTACAAAATTCAGGCAATTTCATTCCTAAAGATCCTTCTTTTACAAGGTCATCATTATCTCTTATCAACAAATCTTGTTGATATTTTGTTATCAACATCTGTACGATTGTATGTGACATCTTCTTACTGCAAGTTCTTCATTGATCCCCACAGTCAGTAGGACACCATCATTAACACAAAATATAACTGCTACCCAAACGTCAGTTTCAAGGAACCTCAAAAAGTCCAATTATAGACTTTGTAACTTCTTTAGATTCTTCTACATTCATTTCAAACGTAAGGTTTTCAGCCTTTCAGCAGCACTAAAAACATCCATTGTCATGCCCCCTTTTCCAATGCCTACAACTCCTGAAGCTACTTTAGAAAGCCAGTCCAGCAGGGTCTCTATGTCTTCACCTCCTCCTAAGACCACTTGTATCTCTACTGTTTCTCTAGGAAAACAGAGCTCTTCGGTAAGTTCTTCAGAAGATGGAACAATATCAGCCATATCTGCTGGAATCATCACTCAATCCACTACACCAACAATCAAGAACACAACAGTGAATGCTACATCCTTAAAAGCGCCTTATATTTTTGCAAAAATACCACCTAGCTCTTCAAGCAGTTTTGCTTCTGTCACTACAGTAGCCTCTAGCATTACTACAAAAACCACTGGTTCTTTTGTTGCTGATTTGGAGTTTTATATGGCTTCAGCTTCAGTTCCTACCACCACAGAAACATCCATGCATGTGTCACACAGATCTTTATTTACACCTGCAGTGACTCAGGCTTCACAGAGCACTAAAGAGACTCCAAAAATTATGATAATGAAAACAACTGGTACTACAAGTCCATTATCACAGATAAAGAGTACCTCACTTGCAGCTTCAGAAGTTAAATATGCAACCTCATTTGAAAGAACTGGGGATGTTTTAGAAAGTGGTCAGATTTCACATGAGGAAAGAAATGTTACCAAGACAAAGTCAACCACAACTGAGAAATCTTCCCTGTCTTATTTGACAGTATCTCCAGTTCAGAGTTCACCTTTCCCAAGAAACATAACCACAGTAAAAAATCTCTCTGTTTCTGGAGTCCCAGATGTAATTATATCAGATTGGTCAAACATCCCAACACAGAAATCCATTAAACCTTATTTCAGTTTAACAGAGCCCACAGAGCATCAGACCAGAACTGTAGTAGATTTATCTCATTCTAGTGGTGGAATGTCTCTGCCTTCCTCTCCAGAGCCTGTGGAAACACAAAGTTCTCTGGCAAGCACAGAAACAATGACAGCTGTAGCTGACAAGGCTTCCTTTGGTACAATGATGCATACACTGATGTCTACATCTTCTGAATGTGTGGTATGATCAGTTCTACTTGCCCCTATGTGTTAAAATAGATATTGATTTGCAGTCCATTGTGTTATGCTATGTATGTAATACCAGAGCTTTAAAAATCACCTGATTTTGTTTTCATTTGTCTGTTTTAAAATCTGCAACTGTTCTTAGATGGATGCAGTATCGCTGCTCCTATACTGCCCTAGCATATTCTGCAACTTGGACGTAAGACTTTTAAAGCTATGTGCTGATTCTAAATAGGAAAATACATTTTTGAGCTGTAGACAAAACCATAATCCCTTGGATTTTTTGTTTCTGCATAATCTCACTCCACCTTTCCTTTTTCTATTTGATTCTTTGTTATAGGGTTTAAAATGATGGGAATGGATGATTCTGTCTTTTTTTAAAATGCTTCATATTATTGCTGAATATAACATGTAGCCTCAGTGCACAATGTTTTGCATAGAATATTCCATCAAAGCTAGATGGAGCAGGAGGGGTGTGGGTGTGGGATGTGCATCCTTGTCACCTGTCACAAAAAGCAATTCATTCCAAAATAACTGATGAGGAGTCTTGTAGTCATGCTGATTCTCTCTAAACATGGTGATGAACAAGTGGTCGCTTGGACTCTGTGAGGGCAATGAACGTAAGGTTGATTCTGGTTGCTTTTTCCTTATATGACAGCCGAGATACCTTGAACCTGTTGACAAATGTAGCCACTACGTATGTGTTAATATGGACTGGATATTATACAACCTTTCAAGGAACTGCCCTAAGGATGCGCAGAAGCCAGACTGTGGTTTTCGAGGAATGCCGGTTCAAGTTAACTCTGATAGTTGTTGCCCAGAATGGGAATGTCCTTGTAAGTCACTGTTTTATTTTTAAATACAACATAGAGCCTTGATCTGTAAATTTCAAGTAATAAATTAAGGGTTTATTACAGTGGGAATATGAGGTTGAATACTGACATGAATTTAAAAGAACTGTTCATCAGCAAACCAGAATGAAATATACTGAAACTTTTGGTATCTTTGAATTCAAGAGAGTCAAAATATTTTCTTTTGAATCAGAAGATTGAAAAGAAATCTGCAACATGAACATCAGCATATTCCAGCTGACTCTCTTTTCAGAATTTCTATCAGTAGAAATGTTCAGATTTCAACATTTTGTGAAGGAAACAAATTAAATACTGTCATTTCTGAAAGACAGAACCCCAAAATTTCAGTTCGCTCTAACTGCAGTTTTTACTCAGAAACTACAGAAACTGGCAGATGGCTGTCTGCCAAGGGAACAAAAAAGCCACAAAGAAGTCATGTTAATAACCTTGCAGCATTACTGAAACCCATATTGCACTTTTAAATATCTGTCTCAAGATAGGACAGATCAGTATTTTGTTATCAGTAGCTCAAAAATGCATACATTTTAATGCATGAATTTTATTTCACAATGTATGGATTCAATGACCTTAGCTGTAAAACACTGACTTAAGTGAAAATTTTCACCAATTTAAACTTTCACTCTGGGCACATAGCGATAGGTTAAACTATTTCCACTGAGTAATGTAAGGCCCTTGCTTCTGCTTTTGGTTCAGTATACTGTCTGCAGAACAAGGTCATTAGTGTATATATATATATATATATATGAACATTCAGAGGGAGAGAGAGCAAATACTGTTAAATTGGAATGTTTTTAGAAATGCCCTGTATATGATTTTGTGGTAATCTCATTAAATGACAGTTCTTTTTTAGGTCAATGTTCTGTACTGTCTGAACTGAGTGTTATCACATTTGATGGAAACAACATAGCCCTCTGTAATATGGCTTCCTACATTTTAGTCAAGTTACCAGAAGAAACTATTGTTGCTCATATTGAAAAATGTCCTGCTAATCAGGTAAGATTCTGGCATTTCTGCAATAATTGTCATGGTTTCTTGATTTTTTGTGTTATAAGACTGAAATTCTGCTAAATTTTATCAATTAAAACTTACAGATAAAAGCCATACCCTTTGAAAAATAGCAAGTTATTTAATATTCAAGGAACATGTTAATCATGCTCTCTAGATCAAAGAAATTTATCGCAGATTAAACAGTAATCGTTGTATTATGTTAAAACGAAATTCAAATGTAGGTTCCTTTTAACTTAATTAGGGTGACATAGCTTCTGTATCTGCATGTCTCCATTCAGGTTCTCCACCCACAAAGCTTCCCGAGGCCTTGAATTTATAATTTACAGTATGGTAAAAATACTAAAATACTTTGAATAGCCACTGAAATCTGTTGTAGTTATTTTAGGAAGGTATTAATGGTTTTGGGATTAGTGTGAGGCGTTGTTCTTTGTAGTTGTCCAACTCACTGCACTGCCTACAGAGGCGATCCAGCCACTTTATTTTTAGACTGTCAGTTTAGGTCAGGTCAGTCTCATCCTTAGGGTCTTTACATACACCTCCTTTGCACTGTCCATAGTCCTAATTTATGTAGCCCTTGAACAACTGGCTTACATTTCCATCTTCGGTTTGTGGATAAAGAAGTTCCTGATGAGGAACTCCATCAAGATTCTTTCCATCCTTATTTGCTCTCTTATGTACTCTCACTGGGGGAGCTGTACACATGAATTTTAAGTCCTGAGTCTTACACTGTTTTAGAGATTTTCTTTTAAATTTCTCCCTTCACTGTTTCTTGGTTGCAGACTAAAGGTGTGAACACAGTTCATGGAATCAGATGAGCTTTAGAAGTCTGTAACTGTGGTTCTCTAAGAAACACTTTTTGAAAGGGCCTTGCAGCATATGCTAAGTCTTGTGATACTGATAATGAGCTGCATTCAATGTTAAAGCTGTTCAGCTAAAAGCCAGCTGAGGTATGGTATGTATGAGCTACATCTTGTGCAGGAGGATGCCTTGGTAAAGTAGCAGTTTTATCAGAGTTAGGGCAGGAGATTTTATCGGCGTATCTGTTGTATTTTTAATTCAGCTTGTTCAGGTCATGGCATTATCTTTTCTGTCTTATTTTCCACATAAATCCCTTTGATTTAAATCTTTAACAAGCAAATCAAGTTTCTAAAAATAGTTCATACAGAGTTCACAAAAATAATTCACAGAAAGCTCCATTAGTTGGGAAATGTGTATTTTTATTATTTATAAGGAATATATTAAATTAGTTCAATTATACAGCTGGTTGTATAACTTAAAGAAAACAGTCAACCAATTTTTCCCAAATAAGAATGCTGCTGATTATTATTGCACTTCTAATCTCTTTCTAATGTTTTTCAGAGTGCAAATTCAATAAGAAAACTAGTGAGTACTTTTTTCTTTTACTAATTATAAAACAAATCATTATTGCACATCTTGAAAAAATTCCCTATGGCACTGGTACACAATTAGAAAATAAATAGTAACTGAACTTGTTTGTCGCTTTTCTTTTAAGGTTCCCCCTGCAAACACTTCGGGGCTCTGTTTTAAGAAATTAAATGTAACAACAGGCACATATCAATTACTTATCAATCGCTTAGAAAGAAAAGTGAGTATATGTCATGTATATATCATGTGCACACTTAAAAGATAGCTGAGAGCTCATTCTGTTGTAGAATGCAATAGATTAAACTTATAATGAATGCACTATAGGATTAGGATTACTTTTGCTGTTCAGGTTCCCAGTAATTCATAGTATGCTAGAAGCAAAAAATATACATTTCCGACATCATGCTCCACTTATATGCCATTTATCCAAAATGAAACTTTAAAGCTCTTTTGAGATTTTAAAGAAGCTGCAAAAGCATTTATACTTGAGAATGTATTTCCAGAAAACCCAGAGCCAAACAGAAATGTTCGAAAATGTGATAAATACTTAAGCTGCCTTTCCTGATAGTAACAGGTGAGAACAGATAACTTTGAATAAATGAATGCAGGTGGAGGTTTTTTGTTTATCATATGATATGTGGTAAGTAAGATTTATTGCTTCTGTAATTAGAAAAGATTTCTGTATCTTTTTTGCTTATGCCTACTTCATTTGCCGTTACAGGAAATGGCACTGACAGGAAGCTCTGTGACTTAAGCACTCTGTCTGTTATTGCATGAGGCAGAGGCCATAAAAAGTACCTTTTGTTATAAAATGTAGAGACATAAAATGCATCTTTGCCATCTGCTTTTATCTCTAAGACATATTTGGTTTATTTTAGGTAGTAGTGGATTCTGTAATTCAATCATTACCGTTTTCAAAAGAAGGACTGAGTATCCAGGATACTGGTGCAATGTATGTTGTTAATACCCCAGCTGGTATTAGCATCAAGTGGGCTCACATTACAGGCATCATCGATATACAGTATAGATTACACTCTAACACATCCATAAAGACAGAAGGACTTTGCGGTGAGGCTATGATTTTTTTATATTTAATAATTTCCCATTTAAAATGTACACCTGCCTTTTGTGTCTGTGACCTGCTGTCCCTATAGCTCTCCTTGTGACCCCCATTAACTACCCTGACAATCCTATTTGAGGTGGGCTTGTGAAATTCTATTAATAATAGTAAATCAATAGCTCTGTTTCAAAGCACTCTGTTTTGCAGAGCAAGGAATGATCATTAGACTGTATCTAACTTTAAAAAAATGTACTCATCACTGCCTGCATTTAAGAATATTGTTGAAATCAGGTAAAGAAAAGGGTAAAATTTTCAATGGAGAACTGGCTGCTGGAGAAGTTCAGGTAGTAACAGTATATTTCAGTGATTATGAGAGAAAAGGATAACCCTCAGATGTTAGCAGTGGCAGCTTATCACTATGCAAATACTGATAAAAGCTATATCTTGGGAAGGGTCCATGTCCCCTGAGGGTAGTGAATCCAAATGGAGATCTGTTAAGGTTGGATCTAGCGTCCAAAACTGTGCTGACGTGTCTCAGACTTACAACGATACTAAACTGAGCATGTTTCAGGCTTCCCTGGTTGCCTGCTTATAACTCTGCTAGTAGGAATTATGTGGAAAATTGTAAGCAAATATTTAAGTTACGCTAATTCTACCATGCATGTTCACTTTCTGGTGCATTGTAATTTTACAGTCTACCCCATATCAAACAGGAAAATGAACTTTTTATAGTATTTTAAACTGCTTTCAGTTTAAAAAACAAACAAAAAAACCCCAATATAGATATGGTTTAAATATAGCTGTAAACAAAAGAAGTTGAAAATCAATTTCTGTCTTCTGCTTGAATGAAAGTTCTTCTAGATCTACTGAGAGAAGTTGAATGCTGGCTGTGCATCTTTTTCCAGTATCATGCCATCTTCTCTGTGCACACTGAAAAAGATTGGGATAAGATGCAGTCAAATGTAGGAAGGATTATAGAATAGTTACTCATTGTGCCGTGGAAAGAAAGAGGAAGACTCTGCAGACAAATCCAACCTCTGCTGTGAAATGTTGCTCTACCTGATATTTTGCCATGAAGTCTGAAGCCTCTTTTAGCTTCTTTTCTATTCTTTGCCTTTTGTTCCTGTCTGGGATTCTCCTACCCTCTCCCTCTCAAACTGAAAAAACTGTGGGACTATGTGGCACAATGACTATTTTTAAAGCTGTATTTTTTAGCATCACCCTACAAATTCTAACACCAGCACAGTTTGTGGGATGGCATTAGGGCAGCAGCAAGAAGCAGAAGTATTAAGAATATTACGCAAATGCCACCTTCTGTGTTTTTCCATGCTGCCAAGAATAACAACCTGTCATGTGAGGCTAACCCAGTCCTACAAGGGACGCCGGAGGGTATCAGGATACAGGGCTGGAAGCATGAAGGCAGGCAATTACGGTGTGGTTAGCAATGTGGAAAGAAAGTGAAAAAAGGATAAAGGAACCTTGGTTAATTAGTTGCTGGGATGTAAAACACTGTTATTAATATTAAAATTTTGGCGTTAAAGACTTGTTACATTGTCGTGGTTTAAGCCCAGCCAGTAACCCAGAACCAAGTAGCCACTTGCACACTCCTCCCATTCCTCCCCCCACTCCCAGAGAGATGGGGAGGAGAATCGGAAGAATGCAACTCCCACAGGTTGAGGTAAGAACAGTCCAGTAACTAGAGTATAACACAAAATCACTACTGCTACCACCAATAATAATAATGATAAGGGAAATAACAAAGGACAAGAATACAACTTCTCACCACCTGCCAACTGATACCCAGACCGACCTGAGCAGTGATCTCCCCCTTCTGGGTAACTGCCCCCAGTTTATACAGTGGGCATGACATGCTGTGGTATGGAATACCTCTTTGGTCAGTTTGGGTTAGGTGTCCTGTCTCTGCTTCCTCCCAGCTTCCCCTCCTCCCTGGCAGAGCATGAGACTCCAAAAGTCCTTGGTCAGAGTAAACGTTACTGAGCACCAACTAAAAACATCGCTGTTATCAACACTGTTCTCAGGCTGAGAGTCAAAAACACAGCACTGCACCAGCTACTAAGAAGGAGAAAAATGACTGCTACTGCTGAACCCAGGACAGCTTATAGGAAGTATATGTTTTCATTGATTAATCAACAGAATACATACAGTAATGAATTCAGGTAGCCAGTGGATATCAGGGTGGAGTGTTTTTTTCAGTGGTTTTCTTTCCCAAAAGAAGTAATATGGCATGTTTGTTTGTACTTTGAATGTGATGCTCTGTCCCCAGGGGTTTGTAATGGAGACCCTACTGATGATCTGAAAATGGAAAACAGGACCATAATTACAAACATGGAGGAAATCGAAGTGTTCATTAGGAGTTGGGAAATTGAGAAATCACTTGATGTAACAACCAGGAGGCCAGTAAGAAACTGTACTGAAGATAACTGTACATACTGTATGGGACTGTTAAATGGAAGCACTTTCATCCCTTGTCACAAGAAAGTGAGTACAAAGATCAGAGAAATTCCAGATGCAAATTAAAAAATTATAGTTAAGAAAAGAGCAAGAGAGATATGTATAGTTTTTATGTATTGCTTATTTCCATGAGCTGACAACTGGATGGGTGGCTTTAATACCTCTATCATTTTGGCTTTAATACTATATACATACATCTATATGGATCCCTGTGCTATTATGGTCTTTATTAAATTATTTAGTAGGCAAAGCTCAAAGGAGAGACATCAGATCACCATCTCAACACAAGAACATTCTAAATAATAATTCAATTTTTAATAAATGCTTGACACGGGTCACTAGAACAGAAAGCCTTATGCTTCTGCTGCATACATCAGCAACTCATGCAGCCTGAGACTGCTTGAACTGAAGACATTTCCAGTTAAACATATTTTGATATACTCACTATTAGGTTGACAATTTGGTAACATTTCTTACAGAAATCATTATCTTTTGTTTCTGGGCACTGTACTTTCTTATAGGGATATTAGCTGTAACACACAGACTACCACTAGAGGTGGGTAGTGCAGCACAACTGCTTTCCTAAATTAGGGACCCTCAAGGCTCTGAGGTCTGAATTATTTTCCCCAAGTAATGCAAAGTGAAAGGATTAACTACTCAAGAGGCCCACTCCTTCTCAGAGATAGATGTGACCAGATTCCTGATTCACTTCTTGCTGTTCTGCCTTTCCATGGTTGGTTTGCACTGTGATACTCCAGTTTTCATCACAGACAAATACTGTTAAAGGTATTGCAGGCAGCTGAGCCCCTTCCTTCAAGCTTCCATGCCCTCTCCTCGCTTTCCACAGGTAGAAACAATTGATGGAGTTCTGAAAGGAAGGGGTTAAAGAGTTTTGTTGTTTGTTTGTTTGTTTTAAGATTATTAGATATTAGTCACAGAAACTTAATAGGAGGGAGCAGTGATAAGCAGTTTGGAATCAAGAAGTGAGAATAGCACCAGTGGGTAGCAGAATGCTTTTCATAACTGTTTTAACACATCTTGTTTGAAAATAATTAAAGGGAATCTGAATAGTCAGAATTCCTACTTCATAAATGCTTCCAAGAGAACTCTCATAGCCACAAATACAATACAATTGCACCTTTTACTAGTTCATAGCAAAACATGACATAGCATCAAAACTGCAAAGGACTTGTTTCATCCGTTAGGAAATTTGTTTTCCTTCACATACATGATGGAGGTAGAGCCAGAGTGGATAGAGCAAATTAGACTCTTCACAAGCATGAAGCAACTGGGCAAAGATAGGAAACAATCATCAGGGCAATTAACTTTATGGCAAAGTGAGCAACTGCTTGAAGACTATTGAAACCATAGGGACTGCTGGGTTGCAGCATCATAGTAAACAGGAAAAAAACTGACTTTTCCACCTTGCTACAAGCCTATAAAAATAAGAACAGAAAAAAGATTGGTTGCACCACCTGCATTCAGACCCAGTTGGCACAGGCTATTGGGTCTTCCTGCAGACACAGAAACAGGACACTCAGTAATAATTCATTCACAGCAGGAATTTATGGAAGGTATAGAAGCAATGCTTAGCTGATATTGTTGACTTCTAGCTGACAGGGTGATAACTGCAAAAGTGGTGTGACAATGTCATTAGGACTGTCTTCTTTGCCTACTAATAAGCATAAAAAAATCCTGTTGGTTGAAGTTTTGCAGAATGAGTGTTCTGGAAAAAATGCAATTTTTTTGCTTCAGACAATGCTTATGATTTTTTCCCTTGCAGCTGTATTATTTCTTGTAATTAATGATTTAATTGCAGAAAGCTCTTCCACTTGTTATTTCTCAATTACAATATGTTCCCAGGTGTCACCACAGGAGTTTTGTGAGAAGATGTGGATCAACAGTACCAATTTTTGGAATTATGAATGTGATGCACTTTCTGCATATGTGGCTTTATGCAACAAGCACGACATCTGCATTAAATGGAGGACACCTGATTACTGCTGTAAGCAGATAGCTATGTTCTATACCCCAGAGTGGCTTTATACTGCTTCAGTGTTTAGTGATGAGTTAAAAATATTTTTTTATTGTTATTTGGAGTACCATCTCATTCTATCACAGAATTAGTAAATCAGGGTAGAAGTTATTAAGATGTATTGTTTGAGTCAAAGTATCATGAATCAGATTTAATTTTGATTGAATTAGTTTCTTAAAATACTGTTAGAAATATAAATGCATGCTTTCTATGATACACTTGCTTCTTCTTACTACCTGATAGTCCAATTAAATGCTAAAAGAATAACAGCAGCACTCACTGACTTTTTTTTTATTACTTGCAGCACTGAGTTGTCCCGAGGGCAAGGAATACCAGCCTTGTGTGCAACCCTGTGAAGCCAAGACATGCTTAAATAAGTGGTTCTATGAAGATTCTCCCTGCTCCTACTTAAGGGAGGACTGTGTTTGTAGAAATGGCACTATTCTGCATAGAACAGACTCTGACCTCTGTATACCAGAAGAAAAATGTAGTAAGTGCTGCATGAGAGGGCAGTTTTGTAGATATGCTAATACTAACTGCAGTTCACGAGAAGTGATGTTTAACTTCCCTGTCAGTCCTCAGTAAGTGTGATGTTGTATAGCTCCCTTCAACAGAGCCTTCATCTATCTCTCCAGTTTGAGCTTTCAGTGCACTTGGATTCAAGAGCCAGTGCTGATGTACTTCTGTCAGGGAAAAATAATGGTCATTCTTCCATAGCACCCAGGTTTTCTTTCCTAGATTACTCAGGAAGGAACAGCATGGGCAGGTTCTTTCCCTCACACTCAGTATTTATTTTCACCCGTAGTGAAGCCTTTGTTCATTTGGACTTTTTGAGGTCATCATCTTTTCTTGGATTCCTTGATCATAATGCTCCACAGCACTCTTATTTTATGCAATGCTTCTATGGAATTCATAGTTGCTTGCAGGAACCCTGCACACTCTACATAATAAAGGGATATAATGTTTTTTCTTTCAGCATGTACAGATAACAAAGGACAACCCCGCTCTGCTGGGGAGATATGGAATGGGTCCATGAGAGGCTGTTGTATGTACAACTGTTTAGAAAATGGAAGCATTGTTGCTGTAGAACCTGAATGCAATGAGGATCCACTACCAGTCTGTGAAAGAGAAGGGGAAGTTATCGTCCATGTCATTGAAGAAAGAGCTTGCTGTCCAAAGAAAGTTTGTGGTATGTACCACACTTATTTTCAGTAACAGAAGTATAAGATTAAGTGCTTGCCATTCAGTGGCAGAGGGTGATCTTTAGACAGGGGTCCAAAGTAGCATTTTTCAGAAGTGTTTTTTATGTACTTGCAGTTGCTTGGGCCAGCAAAGCAGGCTGCTCTAGTTTGTAAGAACTGACTCACTGAAATAATATATATTTTTCACTCTTGGAAGTCTGCTTGTGAAACAAATCTTCTGTTCAAAATTAATTTTGAAGCTCTTCGGTTGAATTTCAAAATAAATTTATAAATACTTGATGATAGAAGTAGCTTGGTAATTGGGGCAGTCATCAGAGCCTGTTCACTTTTCCTATTAATGCTTTGGTATCAACAGCAGTATCCTCTGACCTACTGCTGTTTCACAGGAGCAATATTCTGTGAGCTGATCACTGAATACTAATATTTTGTGTAGCCATGGTTAAGGAATAAGCTCATTGCTCCTAAACTGTTAATTAAAAGATGCTAATTTCTTCATAACATCTTCAAGGAAAATCAGCACAAATGGTCAAAGTGATATGCTTTTGCTCATTGCACACCTGTAACCAACACTGAACTGTCAATTTGTTAAGGGCGTATTTTCACTGGGACGTTTTAGCTGGCTTAATGTGTAGGAAGCAGTGTAGGCAAATACCTGCTTTAAGAGGGATATAACTGTGCTTGCACAGTGCCACGTGATTGGAGTTCCACCAGTCCTGGGTTGAGCTTGGAGGTCTACAGTATGGTATGGAGTACACTTCAAGCTGACTTGGGCTGCTTCTAGTTTGTGAATCTCTTTCTTGAATGGTATATACATCTTGAGATATAGAACTTGCACTCATATCTGCTCAAATGTGTCAAAATTGATTGGTTTTTTTATCCCACAGAATGTAACATGTCACTGTGTGACACGATTATTCCAACATGCAAACCCAGTGAAAAATTAGTGGCGGGTTACCACCCCCTGTCCTGCTGTCCACAGTACCGATGTGGTAAGGGAAATACAAACACAGTTTCTGTGACATTTTCCACACTTGTATTATATCTTCTAAGAAAACCTGCCTTACAAGCTAATTGTTAACAGAGTGGGACACAGTAAATGGCACCAGGCAATGACTTTTCTTTTTTCCACATGCCAATATTTTCTTGTGTTTGTGTTTTGTGTCACTTTTGACTTACAGGTAATTTGGGGTAGATGAAGAATATCTTCTATCTATCTTTTTAGTATTATTTCTGTGGCTGTTTTTAGAATAGTGTTTATTTCACATCCTGCAGAATGTGATCCTTCAGCTTGTTTCAATGCTTCCCACCTGGACTGCAGAGAAGATCAATTTATTGTGGAAGCAAAACAGGAAGATCCCTGTTGTTTCTCTTACCTCTGTGGTAAGAATCCTCTAATATTTTTATGATTAACTAAGGAATAGTGAAGTATTTACAAAACCAGTCTATAGTTCTAAACCTAATCATTTAAGTCAGGAATTCGTGTAGAGGTCAGTGGGATTTCACACAGGTCAGGCTGGCTAGAGCATAAGTTATTCTTCAGTTTTGGGATCTTTTATTTCAAACATAATTTTGAACATACTACTTGAACTTTGTTATGGTTTTATATTTGAATGCCAATCCATAAAAGCTCTGTTATCCAAGTAACAAACATGATGTGACTTGTGATATAGCTTATTATGTGAAGTCCCATGTGCTAACATTTTAGTATTGAAAACTTTGCCTGTTTTTTTTTTTTAATTTAGTTTGTGAATCCTGTATTGAGCCTGTTCCCTTGTGTAATGAGGGGGAAATTCTCACTGTAGACCTTAATACCATACATTACTGTTGTCCTCATTACTACTGTGGTGAGTATAATTCTTTATCAGTTCAATACGTTACCAAATTTGGTAAACATGACAGACTCTGTGGGTGGGCTGCAAGAGAGATTAAGAGATCTAAATTAGGGTGTTTGCATAGGGGTGAGTTCAGATTTCTTGGTATACTTAGTGCTGGTCTAACCAACCCAGTCAATGGGGTCTGGAGAGGTTACTTAATCCACCAGAGAGAATATAGGTACTTTCAGGATGATCTAAGTAATGATACATTGATGTGGAACTGAATCCCATCCTTGGAGTATAAATATACAGTTGTTCACATACTAAAACACCCGCTATAAAACAGATTCCATATTGTTGTTCCTCTGTTGTCCCATTTGCTAGTGTTTAGGCAGCCAAGGGTTTCAAATACTGCTGGGTTGAGTACTATTAAAAAAAGAAACAGAAGAAAAATATTTGCAGTTCAGTGTGGTCTTTGGTAGCCTCATAAAACCACAGAAATTGTGCTGTATGTTCTTAATGTCTACATGTGTAACTGCTTGATTTAGATTAATTCTTGTCTTGTTGGAGTCTTTGAGTAATTTCAATTAATTACGTAGTCTTCCAGCAAGTCTGGAACTTAGTAATTTTTAGTTCAGCTGGTTCCATGTTTTGGTCCTTCCCTATTCCTTCCACTTGCACCCTGGTTAAAGTTTCTGCAAAGGGCCTTTGGCACTGTTTTTGCCAAATTCTGGCAGGTAGAAAGTTAAATCTTAGTATGTGGTCATCTTTCAGAGTCCCAGTTAGCCACCTCCGATAATGCAAGCAGATATTTGCTTACTGGAGTCATCCTAGGAGGGCAGTTGCTCCTGTTATCTTACAGAAGTGTGCTTTACAGCACATTTGTAGCTGGTACTAGTTATCAGCTTGAGTGACTCTGAAGTAAGAGGAGTATTAAATGATCCCTATGTGAAGTTTTTGAAAAATTTCAACATGTTTTAAGGCAACTAAAAGCATTTTTAAAAAATCTTTGTTTATTTTTAGTTCCAAATATAATTCAGATGCTTAAGAAACACAATAAAAAATAGTGAAGATGTCATTAGAACGGTTCATTGAGAGAAATATAAGCCAGAAAATTCAAAGGAAATTTGAGAAATGTGTCTCATATGTTTCTTCTCTCTCTGACCCCTCTAGTTTGTGATGAAAATCTTTGTTCTGAGCCTCCTATGAATTGCACAGATGAAATGACACTTGTGAAGGAAAAAATACCTGGGCAGTGTTGTCCAGAATGGCACTGTGGTAATTATTGCTTTATTCCTTAGTCACTGCTGGTAACAAAAGCTAACAACTAGGTAACTGACTACCATGGTTTTCTTGCTTTCAGAATGTAGCTGTGAAAACTCTACTATGCTGACCTGTAAATTGGTAAGCACTGTCCTTTAGATAATTTTATTAATGGTGTTCAACCCTCTTACTCCTCCCTTTCTATCCCTTGTTTCAATTAGTTTTAAAGGGTGTTGAGGCTGCACAGGGACAGGCATGTAACTCAAAGTGTCTGCACGGTATTATGAAATATTCCTTGGGGAAATTTCACCTTGTGTGTTATAAGGTGTCAAAAGAAGACAAGCAACTGTAGTATTATTCTGTTCAATGTTGACTCAAAGTATGCTGGGAAGGTTTCCCATGCAAATAAACCCAATTATTTTTAATAATTAATGAGGACTAAGCTTTATGATCATATATATAATCTGAAGAAATATGTTATTTTGCTAATCCTTTATGCTTTTGATTAAAATGATTTAACATCACTGAATGTAGCTGTTATGAGAAGCCATAAATATTTTGCTCCCCACACACCTTCTCATAATAGCAACTGTAATCTGGAAAGCAATTATGAGTGAATGTTCAAATTCCCATTATTATGGCAGTGATGGAGATATTTTCCCTATCAAATGCCTGTCGCTTGACCTTCTCTTTTCCCTTATGTGAAGTCTAAAGAATGTAAAGTCTAAACAGAAGTTGCAAATTTGGATAGCTATTACCTAGCTTTTGGAAGAAAATTCATAGAAGGTAGTCTGTTGCTGCTATGTTTATTACTGACATAACTTTGTATCTACGAAAAATTGCTCTTCAGTGACTCTGCTATTCAAATGCATTCTCTTTGCTCCTGTTTAAAGCGATAAATACATCTAATAACTCTGAATGTGCTACTGTTTCTTAAGTATGTTGACATTTTTCTCTTTTATGAAAGCAGGGGTGGAAGTAATTAAAGTAATATTTTACATTTTTAAAGAAAAAAAATGTCTGTTTAGCACTACATTTAATTGTCCACTACTTGGCAAACTCTTATCTTTTTATCCTCAGGGAGAAGTTAAAAAAATAGATAGTAATGTTTCCAGTGCTTGTGGATGCACTCACTACATTTGTGGTAACTAACCCTTTCCAACCCTAACTATTCTATGATTCAAATAGTGTATGTAGCCCAATGTTAAATATTAGAACTCTTTAAAAATAAGACCAGCACCTTTTTTTTTTTTTAATTCCATAGTAAAAACACTATCAACTGTAGACAGTTGCATTTTGCAGCATTTTCTTAAGCTGAATTACACCTCTCCCTCTCCCCTTCCCTCCCCACCCCACCCCCATCTGATAAACAAACCACAAACCAATCAAGTCTAAAAGCTAGAATACTTTTGCAGACCATAGGACTTTGCCCTCTGTTTGTGTCCACAATGATTCTGTTGATTTGCTTGATGATATTTTTTTTCCCCTTCTGGTAACATTTATTTCTTTTGGTGTTAGAGAAGGATGATGTGTGCATCTTCCAAGAGGTCACAGTACTGAATCCTGGACAGTCAGTGATTCAGTTCTTGGGTGGAGACCTTTGTTACACTGTACAGTGCTTACAAGAAAAAGATCAGAACACAGGATACAATGCAATGCATTTTACAATGGTGAACTGTTCCCAGCAATGTGAAGCTGTGAGTACTCCTAAAATAATGTGAATGATGCAATTTGTGAGCTCAGCTACACCATAAGGATGAGTCACAAGTGAAGACTTATTGCTAGTCCTGTTTGCTAAGTATTTGAGAACTTAACAGTGATGAGTATCTTGAGTCTCCAGGATTCTTTGGAAAGGTAATTTCTAGCAGCATATATGTTTACAAAACACTTTTTCCCCCTTTTTTGTTGTTTTCCTTTACAGCATCAAATATACATTCCTTCCTCCAGTCACCATACTTGTTGTGGTACCTGTCAAGACATGTCCTGCTCTTTTCATACTGAGAATGGAACACTAATCATGTATGAGGTACGTGCCTCTGGACAGAGATAGGAAGTCACTATAATGATACAACAATAAAAGTCTTGTTTCATACCTCCTTACTGCTGGTTACACACTCAGGGAGTATTTATGGTATATGATGGGAAAACAGTGTGTTTATTTAAAGACCTGCCATTTCACACTAGGTGAATACCTTGTTTATTTGGTGTAAGATTTTCTGCAAAGATATATAAATATCATCATTTACTTCAGGCTGGATATGTTTTATGTGCAGGGTAGGGTTGAAATTGTAACTCTAAGTCATGTAAGGTGATCTAGATGCATTGGGAGCTTCTAAGTCTGCATCAGGATTCCTATGTCCCCCTCTTCCCAGGGCCACTGTTCTCCTCATTCTGGTTTCTACAGAAAGGAAGTGTGCAAACTGAATCACTGGGGATTAGGATCCTCATGGTTTGTTCCAGCATTCATACAAGGAAATCTAGATGTGGTCATTACTTGGTTCATGCTTCCCATTGCTTTTAGAGCAAAAGAAACTATCAGGCTTTTTTTTCTGGTACAGAGTCCTTTTGGGCTGCACTAGTACACGAATGCTGAGCCGTGTTCTGGAGAGTAGAACTGTGCCTGCAGGGGTGAGCAGTCATTGGTAGTTAGAGGATGGTCTTTGCCGCCTGTAGGTGGTCTGCAAGGAGCTCTTCACTCCAGTAGGTACTACAGCATGAGGGGCCCACATTCACAGATGTTTGGGGTTGGAGATAAAGCCAAAATGTTTTGTATTTCCTGACAATGGTCTTGATGTATACATTCAGGAAGGCAGCACCTGGACCTCCAACTGCACTAACTACAAGTGTGCAAAGACTGCTGCAGGGGTTGTCATACTGGGATCAAGTGTTGTCTGCCCCCCTTTTAATGACACTGAGTGTACAAAGGTTTGTACTTTGGTTGAGGTAAGTGACAATAACTGACCTGGAGTCAGTTATTATTGACTGGACCTTGACAACGCATGCATACTTCATACACTTTCTTTAAATTAAAAAAGTGGTAAGTAAAAACATGTAAGAGAACAATTTACAGTCTTGTTTTGACTGACAAAATGCCTGTGAGGAGTACAAAAGTTTGTTTGGGTCCTAACAATGACTGCTTTTAAAATATTGTGGAATTGGAATTATACTTGATTATCACTAGCACAGTGCTAATCACTATGGCTTACTTTAGTTTAGAATAACACTTTGCCCAGTTCGTAGTACCTATACACTAAATAAATTGGATCAAGCAATTCAGAAATGCTGCATATAAAAGTGGGCAATATTAAAAATTCCTGCAGTTATGCAAAGATTAGGAAGATGACAGAGTATAAATAAACTTTATTATTTAACTAAACGTTATATAGCATTAAAAAAAATAATTATCTAGCATACATGAATGGGCATCTACCTACATCATATATCTGAAAATGTAAATTGGGCACAACCATAAAAACTGGTTTGAAGAATGCGAAGGCTTCATATATATTATATATCTTTTACAATTTAATTTCTAATTTAATATTTCTCTAGCTTCACATTTCTTATAATTCTTGCACTTGCAGTACACCGTATATTTAATGTAAGCTACAAATAATAATAAAAGAAATATACATGTAGAAATATACATGTAGAAATACATGAGAGATGGTAGTAGCACTGCTGCCTTGACTACAGATTATAAATTTAGCACAGTCCTACTTATCCACTCCATTTGTTTAAGAGTCCTTATTTCTTGCAATCCTGAAGAAGGCTTTCTATCTAAAATTAATGTCTGTTCTACTTTGACTTTATGCTCCAGTTTCTTCCTTGGAACCCTTTTGTCACCGTCTATTAGGATCTTTCCTTAGTAATAATCATTAAGTTTTTAAAGACTGGAGCCCTAAAATTAATTTTCTGAATCATTCTGACCTGTTTTTCAGAGATGCTGAGTATAGACTTGAACCAGTAGATGAGGAGAAAACTGTTCTGTCAAGCAGCTTAGGCCAATTTAGGAATATGAATTTAAGAGGCTGAGTTTAAGTGCTCATTTAAGAAGTCCTTGAACAACTTACTCAATATTTTTCCTGTAATGAAATAAAAAACGCATTCTAGCATGAAGAGACTGAAGCTTAACAATGTCTTTAGCCTGTTGTTACCGTAAGAGTGCTATTTATGTTCAGTTGTCTGATATGCAGTTCTGGGCTATGCACTAAAATTGTGGGTGCCTGTCTCTTGCTTGTTCCCATTCTGTCAGATCCTGACAGTGCCTCTTTCTTTCTCCCTCTTGCACTCCCTTTTAATCTCAGAAGGACATTTTCTTCACTTTCATACATTTTAACTGTTAGCTAACAGGCATCTTCAGCAAAAAAACAGTAACAAAGACTATAACTGAGAAAAAGAATTGAGCACATCAATGGTTCTAAAATTCTGCAGTTAATGTTCTCTTTCAGAAGTGTGTATATATACATATATATATTTAATATTGTAAAAAGCTACTTATTAGGTATTAATTTTTTCCTTAGCATATCCCTGGAAATCCTTTCACATCATCAGCAAAGTTGCACACATGAGTTTTTTGAACTGTTCTAATAAATTGTGGCGGTGGGAAAGAGATAGAAGTGGATGATATAAAAAGATTCTTATAGAAACTCAGTGGCTTCGTCAAAGACACGAGATCAGATCAGATGTGCAACCATGAGTTCATTTTCAGTGTCAAAGGCTATAAAGAATTTGTGAACCAAGCCTCCAGCTCATACATCTCTCTGTAATTTGATTTCAGTGATACTACTTTTTATTAGTTGGACATCTTTAAAACATGGAATGTATTGAGATAAAATTCACCTTTGTATTGGCCACTGTTTTTTGCTATATTCTCTTTTTATTTTCCTAGAACGGAGGAATTGTGCAGATGTATAATGATGGCTGCTGCAAGACCTGTAAGTGAGAAAGGCCGCAGTATGTGCTTAGTTTGGCTTTGGTTTTGGAGGGCTTGGTTTTTAACCTCACTTGCTGGGACATAAAGAAGGAAAAAGCATGCAGTCCCCCCATAAATCACATAAAATTGTTATAGTTACCTAACTACTCCTACTAAAAGGTTTTGCTTCACTTGGCTGCTGACATGGTGATCTTTATTGTTCTGGAGTATAACCAAATCTCTCCAAATATAACCTGCTGAAGATCAGAAGTTATCTCAATTAAAATAATGAAAAGATTTTAATTTGCTCTGCAGTTTTGACAAGAAAAGTTTTTATTAGCAAGGTATTTAATTATGTGTACATAAAAATAAAACACTGTTGTGTAAAGCTAATTGTGCAGAGCAAAAATCTGTGGAATGCCACAGGAAACCCTCCCCCTCATTTTTGTCCTGTCTTCTGTTCAACATCAGAGTTAAAATATAAAAGGAAATTAGTCTTTGGTATTTTTTTAGACAAACCTTTACTTAATAATATTGCATAGGAAGTCACAGAATTATAATCATATACTGCACAGTTATTAAATATAATTCAGAAGTGAAATGAGTTGTAAATAATTTGTGATATAAGAGGAAATATTAATATTTACCAAATACACAATACTCAAGTTTCCAAGATATGCAAAGCTTTGAAAGTGAACTGCAATTATTGTTCTGTTGTATCCAAACCCTAGAAAACAAAAGCTATTTTAATACAACAGAATATGTTTTTGTTTAAATGAGAATCGGCACAGCAAAGTAACACACCAGAATTGTACTAAAATCTTACTAATTATCGTTTCTTTAACGAGATAAGCTACATTTAAAAATATTTAAATATCCCCTCCCAAATTAGGTTGGATTTAAAGTGTAAAGAATTAATGGCTACTGATTTTCTGTTGATCAGGAAGTTCTATAATTTTGGCCGTATTCTGTGGGCCTCAGGAAAGGCATCGTTATACTTCAGAAATACTTGCTGAGGTGGCTGCTAAAACCCCAGATACAATTAATACAATTATATGTTATCTTAATTTTATTTTCTTTTATTTTTAACTAAGAGCATGTGCCCTTTGGTGAAGCAGTTAAAAAGAGTACTTATAAATAGAGCTTGGGGTTTTAATGGGAACAAAATAATCTTTCTGAAAGTGCTTGATTCAATGCATGCAAAGTGAGTGCCTATATTTAATTCTTACCTTGCCATAGAGAGACTCATTGCAGAAGTTTGATTTACAAGGAAGCATCATTCCAGTTTTGTGTTAACCAGGGGGGAAATAAAGTTTAAGCCATTTTTAATAAGACTTGAAGCAGCTGCAAAGTTTCCAAATTTGGTAGACTAACAGGAAAGCTCATTGTTTTTTGCTAACAAAAATTGCAGTTGGCAGTGTAAGAATTAATGAAATGTCATTTAAATAAAAATGTTTTTGTTTCACAAGAAACTTAATATTCCTAATGATTCTGCCAGGTTCTGGATTGGGTCTATTACCCTTTGCCATTAGTCCAGTAGTGCCTACTCATAGTATTAATTGTGAACCAGGTATTATTTTTAATAACATTATTTTCTTTTTTTTTAATAATAGTGTAAGCACTGCTTGATATAGCTGGCATCACATTAAATGTCACCACGCAGTTAATGGTACTGTGCCTGATACTGAGAGATGCTGATTCCATGTTGGTGTTCCAAATCAGTGGTGTTCTAAAGCCTGGTCAGGCTTCACTGCTCAGCACCTGTCAGAATCAGGTTCATCCATTTATGGTACATGCTGCTGATAGTTCTTGCTCATTTCTGGTTTTCATACGGTACAGGGAGGTTGTAATTAGAAATGATACTTTAAAAATTATTATTATCCTGAATACTGTTGCCAAGAGATTCTAAATTTGATCCCAGGTCACTAATTTAATGACTGAGCAGTTTTTGCCTTAAAGTAGAGCAAGACTGCCCAACTTATCTGTGCAGATATGGATTCATGTTGTATTTCTTTTGTCACAAATATCATGTTCTTACAAAGTTATGAAAACAGGGAGGGGGAGGGTGGGAGGGGGAAAAGCATACAATTACAGTCATACATTAATAAATAATTTACACTAGGTATTATGGAATATTACGGAACTGTTGCATTATGATCATAATTTGTCGCTTTTAAAGATAGATAAGTCACAGAAACTCCTTAATCAAATAAGGAGTAAAAAAAGCACACCTGCTACAGAATGCAGATTTTTTTGACAGTTGAAACTGGGAGAGAAAAAAGCATAACAGCAGAGTTTTCATTAGACATCAGCACCTTACACACCGAAAAGTGATGTATCCCTATATGACTTGTAGAAGAACAAAGACTGCATTGTCTGCACATACTAATGCTGGCAAGCACTGTCTAATGGAAATATCATGGGACTTCTTTTTCTTATGCGCTACTGAGAAGGAAAACCCAAGATATTGTGGGCTAACAGCTTCAATAGTACAGTGGTGTACTAGCTCTGCAACAGAATCTTATTTGATCCTGCAATGCGCACATTAAAAATCTAGCTGTGCTCTGCAGCCAGCCTAATTTTTAAATACTCACTGGAGCTGTGGGTGCAGGATATCCCTGGTCACTCAGAGCTCATTTATCTTGTAAAGGAGCTCACAGTCTTCTGAAGAACAGAAATATTGCTCTTTTCTGTGTACACCCAGCCATGAAGGCATGTGCTGCAGGTAGAGAAACTCTGCTGGCTGGTGCTTATTATTTGAGATGTTGGATGTCCAAATAGTTGCATAGCAAAACTAATAGGTAATTTTGATGGGAAGTGAAATAGGAGATCTAAGTAACTGCTGTTACACAGACAGAAGTAACAGTCTGGTATGGAGTGTAGCACGAAATACTGTATGTTTAATTGTGTCAGTCTTATATTACAACTTTTATTGTGTTAAAAATGGCTTTGCAATGTACAGATTTATTTTTCAAATAAAAGGAAAATCCTCCTATCAGTATCTCCTAGAATGTACTTTAAAATTTCCCTAATCCTAGATCCATATGCTGACTCAATACTACATGCTTCAGTTCTGGTGGTAAAAAACTGCACCATATTTAGCAAATATATGGATCTCTCTCCTTCAAAGCCTCCTTCTTCATCTCTCTCAAAAATATATGGCATGATAGGATTCTATTTAAATTTTAAACATTCAAAATAGCATCATGGTTGTAATCATATTTACAACTTTGCCTTCTCAAATGTTAAGGTCTGAGAATTTTCTTAAATGCAGAATTTAAATATTGTTTACATTCAATATTCATATTTAAAAAGAATTCATTTAAATACTAGTAAAAATTATTTGTGACATCTTTTTTCCAATTGTTTTTATTTTTCCTGCCATATGTGTAATTTAAAATCATACTACTATTTTAATATTTATAAAATCTGTTTAGCTTAATGGGCCAATTGATGCTTCATATGTGCAGCTAAAAAATTGATAATTCTGCACAAGAAGTATTCATTTTGCCTAAATTAATTTAATTATGGAAGTCCTAGTTTCAGGGTGCACACTAATGAAAACAAAGTATATTTATTGAATATAGCTTCACTTTTTTAGTAGCAAATGCAGTACAAAAAGTGTATTGATTCAGTATGCATTTTATGTATTTTATCAGGCAAAAAAGAAGAAAGGATTTGCCAGAAAATAACAATCAGGACAACCATAAGAAAAAGTGACTGTATAAGTCAAAGCCCGGTAAGCATAGAAGACCCATGATGCTGGGCCTATGGCATACCAAAACAAGTATTAAGTGGGTTATAGCTCTCAGCAAGCAACAAAAAAATGCTTCTGTCTTCTCAAAAGCAGACCTTTGACCCTAGGAATGTTATCCTACTTGTAAATGGAGTAGAATTAGCTGTTCCTATTGGCTGAAGGCCTGAGCCCTCCTACCTGGAAAATCATCTGGCTTCAAATGAAAAGTACACGGCATAATTATAACTCACATGGGCATTGAACTCTTCACCGTGAAATAACATCCCACTCTAAATGAGGAGTAGAAATGCTTTCACTTAGGATGTGATTTCTCTTTGAATTCCTGCTGCATTCCTCTTTGAAGACCTTTACTCTCTGGGTGTCTTCTCCTCCACATAGCATGTGTCTCCGTATCGTAAATTCATGATGGCATTTATTTATGCATCTGCTTAAGAGAGCTTTTTTCTCAGCTTGGGTGTAGCCACATCTACAAAGCATCTCCAGGCAGCAAATGTGCTTCTCATGTAGCCCTTACAGGAGAAGCAATCGGCACAGTATCTCTATACTTCCAAAAGGCCCCTGGTAAGACTGTTGAAGAACCTATACAGTCATAAAAGGGAAAATATCATTAGAAATTGAAAGCTGAGCAGGTTAATTTCCATCTTGACAGAAGGTCAACAGTGACATTCCCAAAATGTAATAGTAGGAGTGTGTGGTGTATTTATTTAGTTTTAGAAAGAAGATTTGGATGAGAATTCAACTGTTCAGGAGTGAACATGAATTTAGCTGTGCTGTTTTGAAGTTATTAAATTGTAAAGTAGGGATTCGGTTTTGGTATCCACAGCACAAAATTTGGGTCAAGCTTAAGACAGAATACATGGTTAAATAACAATAACAAAGTTTAATTTAAAAGAAAAATATATTAAAAATGTGGCTACACTTAGAATGAATGAATTTTAGAAGATAAAATAATTTTTAAGTTAAAAAAGTTTTTATCACAAAGTTTGAAATGCAGTATCGTTGTGACAAAATTTGAGATGTCTAATTTCAGTTCTTATTATACTCCTAGATAAATGTGGCTTCTTGTGATGGAAAATGCCCATCTGCAACAATTTTCAATGTCAATATTGATACCCATTTAAGATTCTGTAAATGTTGTCGAGAAAATGGAACACGTAATCTGACTGTGCCACTGCGCTGCTCAGGAAACGGCACTGAAATTATGTACGTCATTCAAGAGCCTATAGAATGCTCATGCCAATGGAACTGAACATTACTGTGGATATGATTTCATCTGTAGAAGTAAAAGGAGTTTCCTTTCACCAAACTTTTTTTGATGTTGGATGACTATAGTACAACTGCAGGGATAAAAAAACAGATGTGCTCAATTATGCTTTATAATGTAATTTTTCACAGATTTAGTAAAGATGATGTTCTTTGTTCTTCACATTTTCTTTTGAAGTACTGGCATATATAGAAAGAAAAATATAAATCCTTTTGAAAAAGGTATAATTTAGCCATCATATATTTCTACTCAGTGGGCTTTCTGACAAGCTGTTGAAAGCTGGTTAATGCCTGTTTCCAGCTGGACTGTGGCTATCTATCAAAGTTCAGAATTTCTCAGTGGTTCTTTTCCTTTTACTCAGAAACTTATTGTTGAGAACCATCATTGCTCTCATGTTTAAATGGGAGTTTGATAATGACTGAATAAAATAGTGGTTGAACCAAAACATTTTTACCTTGCAGAAAAGTCTATCTTTTGTCCATTAAACTGTTGTCATTGAGGGGACTATTCTTACACTCTAAGTCATTGAGAAACAACATGACTATGGTCTGTAAGTACCTGTAGTAAATCTCCAGAGCATATAGTAGAATCATAATAATGTCTTTAAACTTGAGACATTAATTTAATTTTTATATATATTATACATATGAAGCATGACTAGCCAAAGGCTGAAGAGTTCAAGCTTTTGTGCCTTTATGAAAAATATCTGAAAGCTGCTTCTGAGATGAAGAATTCTATTTTATATCCATTTATCAGCTTTCACAAATAAGAAATTGGCTCTATACTAGCTGTAGTATAAGATTCTATGTATATATATTTATTTAAAAAACAGGATACTGCACATATTAACTATTCATAATGGGTTTCTTCCTTTCTTTTATAGAATCATAGAATGGTGTGGGTTGGAAGATCATCTAGTTCCAACCCCTGTGTCATGGTCAGGGAGACCTTCCACTAGACCAGTGTCCTGGGTTCAGCAGTAGCAGTCATTTTTCTCAAAGCCCCATCCAACTTGGCCTTTCCAGTTCGAACATTTCTGTTGAGTATATTTTTATAAAATACATAAGAAGTTTTTTTGGTTTTTTTTTTTATGTTTTTAATACTGAGATTTGGACTCAATTTAGGATTCACCATTTTTGAGTCCAGGCAAAAAAATATCCAGGTAAAAGTTATGTTTTGAAGGGCTTTCGTGAGCTATTCATGTTCAATCAGATGGTGAATGTCCATGATTGAGCATGAGTTTAAACTGAACATACTCTCTCTTTTATTAAACATATTACATAACCTTATCTTAAAAAATAAGGATACAGTTTTAGGCTTCGTTTTAGAACATTACTTTGCTTTATAAACTTGCTGAATGAAACTGATTTAAATGCTGACAGTTTTCCTTATCATGCAAATAGTTTCAGGATTAAAATTCTTGTTTAAAAGTCTGAAAACTTTTTGACAAACAGTTTTTATTTCAAGCTGTCATCATTCAATTACAAAAAGTTTGGGTTATCACATTGGTTTATACAAAGAAAAATAATAAAAATAAAAAATTCCAAGGCTATTTTACTACTCTGTGTGACAAATCTTTAAACATTTGCTGTATTCAGTTTGATGGCTTATAAAGAAAAATAGCATGTACAGTGATATAATCCATCTTAACTAACAATACTGTCATCTCCTTATCCGTCTCCTTAGAAATAGTGACTTGGTTTAAAAATTAAAGAACAATCCATTGTATTATCAGTAAAATATTTAACCATTATAAAGAAACAGTGATCACCTAGCAATCCAAATAAAGTGCTGTTCTGAGAAAGCATTTGCTTCATTTGTGTTTTTATTATTTGTAACAGCAGATATTTCAAGTTGTGTTACAGACTATGGCCTAGAACCAAAATATTCTCTGATATTACTGTTGGAATTTGTGTACAGCAACTTTTCATGCAGCCAGGAATGGAAATTAAATCATAGTCATAGCTCTAAAGTTTGTGTACTCATGCAGCAAATTAAAAGGATCTTTTGATTTATGAACAGAGAGATAGGAATCCTATATTTACATCAAGACAGTTTGGCCCAAAACTTCTTAATGAATTTAGCATTTGATAAACTACTTAAGGAGGCTGCTGCAGAATGGGACTTTTCCATATAGTGACCAAACACTTGATGTGCTTTGATTGAACAGCTGTGCTTTTTATAAGCAATGTGCTTTTCTAAGATTTAGAACTGTAATTGTAATTAAAGAGAAATTAATAAACATTATTTTGCAAAATAATAGATGTTGAAACAATTACTTTACCTGTGCCACTGAAGATGAAAATCATAGATGAACTCAGAAATTATAAAGGCAATTATGCTTAAAATTAATTCCCTGATAAACTGTAATAGTATTTATTTTATTAGTTAATTGTTTCCCATTTACCTGATTTGTATTTTTAAGTGCAACAATCAGCAGGATATAATTGTGTCAGCATCCTCTCTGAAATCTACAGCAAAATCTCACATTTTCAGTGGAGCTGGATATGGTATAAGACTGCTTTTCATTTTACAATTAAACTTCAAATTCAGACTGCTTTAGCGTGGTCAGAAAGCAAGCATCTGTTAAACCTTCGGAACCATTTTCTGGGCAGCCATCCCACCCCAATCACCTCCACGAAGGTGACATTGGCATGACATGGTATGTTTTGTAGGGGGCCTTTGCAACAGAGAGAAGGTTTGAATCGAACTACAGTGTGTCAGGGCTGTTCTGCTCCAAATGTTTTTTCCATTTGTAACTTAAACAGAGATGCAGTTTGTGGTTCTGCTTTGGTTTCTTCATCTCCCTTCAATGGTGCATTCCTGCCTCAACCCCCAGGCTCGAATTGTGTGTAACACAGTTTGGACAGGCACCCTGTGAGCTGCTTTGGAAAGCTGATCCAACTCAAACTAACCTAGTTAAATACCAAAATTAATTAGTTTGCTCATTATTGACTGAAAGAGCTTTAATACCCACAGAGTTCCCTCCCTTCTACCCCCGCTCACATAAGTTCTGCTCCTCTAAAACAAAAAGGCTGGGAATGCATGCCTCTCTCAGACTCCCACGCTGCCACTGGAAAAGGCAAGGAACTAGGGAGAAGCTGTGTGCACAGCCACATGCTTGCCTTATGCTCCAGACTGCTGAGCCCTGTCAGTTTCCCCCATCCATACCTGGTTCCACCTATCCTTCATTCCTACATTTCCACTGCTTGGTTCTCCTACTTGTGCTTGCAAAAGGAATTTCTCAGAACAAACACCCATAAAATTATGCAGATTTTTTAGGCAATAATGTAAATATATCTCTATATTTAGACTGTAACTGAATAAGCCTCTGTAACACAGTAAGGCTTTCACCATATTACTTACATTATCTGACTTCTATAATTCCATTGCCTTATGGAATTAACAAATGGCCTACCAGGGATTTGTTAAGACCAATTCTTGTCCCAGTATGCAATTAAAATTTGAGGCATGTTTTTAAATACTGGGTTTAAGTCACTTACTGTGTGTTTTCATTAATAAAATCCAAGACCTAGAGTATAGCTATACAGTTAGCTAACAGTCTCATTTTTTAGCTAGCTGAATCTGTATACTAAATATCAAAGTAGAACTTAATACATTTGCATCATTTATAGTACAGTTATTTCCATCTCTATCTCTTTTTCTTCCTTTTCTCCTCTTATAAGGATTTAAAGGACAAATCCAATGTCTAAATATTATAGAAGTTCATGTTTGCATAAAAACTTAATGCCAAGTAAATGTGTGGGCACCCATCAGGAATATTGTGGCAGTGGGAAACACTGACTTGAACTAATTTTTTTCAAGCTCTGTCTCATGAAATCCCTTCCCAGAGGTTAGCTTGAGGTTGTACTGCTGGTGTGATCATGTACGAGTGCATGTCCTACAGAAAATCCCACAGCCATGTGTCCTATTACAGGGGACAAAACATAAATGAGTTGTCACATGTAACCGTAGCAATACAGCAATTGTGGAGGAGCAGAAGGCCAAAACCATCAGCAGAAATTTCTTACAGTTACAGTGGGATATTGGTACTGCATTTCCCAGATCAGGCTGGATTTCACACTCCCAGCCATTCTGGGAATATATTTTCACTAAACATTCACAAAGCGAATGTAAAAGGTCTTTCAAGGGACAGACTTTAGCACTTAACATTAACTCAAAAGAAGAAAGGCTTTCACTGAGGAAAGGTGATGGTTGAGAGGGTCTGTGTGTAACACTGTGTACCAAGTTTTCTCTAAGGTTTCTTTAAATGCCAAATGGAATGTGCAAGCTGCCTACAGGACAAGGAAACTCAAAAATCAGGCCATTGTCATTAACAAGTCACCACAATTTAGGGTGCAAGGGCATATTCTGAGCTGATGAACCATGAACTCCAGCAACTGCAAAGAAGATTCATTGCCTAGTCCTTGGCAGCCACAAACTTACCATTTTCAAACCACCTTTTTTGCCTATCTTGACAAGTAATTCTATAGACCTTTTAGGTGGTCATACGCCTATCCAAACCAGTGGTGAAAGATTCTCTAAGATCAGAGATTTGAGAATCTCACTCAAAGGAGATAGTCTAAAAAAAATCTATATATGTAGTTTCTACTTTCACAAGAAGCTTTGTATGCAGAACATGGCAGTGTGAAGAGCTTCTTCTGTACTGATGCTGCATTCTGGGGAAAACTGTGGGGGGTGGAATGTATCAAAACTGTCAGAGACCATGGGAAGGAGAAGTTACAGCAGGCAATTAAGAGCGACCATGGGAAGGAGGAACTACGTCGGAACTGGAAAGAGGATGATAAGAAAATCAGATAGACCTTTCACCTGATGTAACCGCAAGGCAAACACGGATGTGCTTGGCTAATTGCTTGGAAGCATATAAATATCATGTAGTCTTTGCAATAAACGATCCAGCTTGCACTCTACCTCTGGGTCTGTGCCTCCATCCTCACAGAAAACCAACAATGAACAACGTTAAAAATCGTGAGAACTGCTCAGTAAAAGGAAGGAGTTATGTTTTGGGAGTGTTCTTTTGATTAAAGTGGAATGTGCCATGCACACTTCATTTAATGAGATCAAAAGAGAGACGCCTCCCGCAGTTGTCTTGAAAACCGCCTCATTAATAAAGCTTCCCTTTGTGCTCGGTAATCACAAAGTGCTCTGGAAATAAACAGTATATCTGTCCTGTAAAACAGCTGAACGGGCACAGCTTTCTTCTGGCCTTAATAGCTACAGTAGCCTGTGGGAGCCCTGGGGAGTGGAGCTGCGCCTCAGGCAGCGGTACATAAACGGAACTATCCTGGTTCGAACCCCTGAGGCAGCTCCGCTGGTCATGAGGGGACCCGAGGCCCGGCAGCTAAGGCCCCGCCACACGGTGCTGCCCGCTGTCTAAGGAACCCGCTGCTCTCAGTTCCCGCCTCCACCCTCCCTCCGGCCAGAGAAAGCGAGTAAGAGGAGAGGAAGGCGGCCGGAGCGGAGGTACTGCCCAGTCGCAGTGCGGTGTCTGCCGGCTCCCGGACAGGAGGGCGGCCTCTCCCTTAACGGGAGGGTCCGCAATGCGGCTCACGGGCAGTGATAGCCGCCGCCGCCCAGCTCCAGCCTGCTGGGCTCTGGGCTTCCCCAGCGCCTCCCGGCTCGAGGGCAGTCGTCCTATGGGGTATATGTGTGTGAACCTTCGGGAGCAAGCGGCGGCGGCTGTTCCTCTTTCGTGGTTAATGCCCAGGTCTTCCTGGTGCCGTAAAGATTTCTACCGGCAGTTATGTGCTGTGGTTACCTACTAGAAATGTAGTCCTCTAGTAACAGGTATTGTATGTGTCAGGAAGATATAGTGGGAGTTAGGGGATTTATAGGCTCTGATTTTACATTGAGGAAGTAGCATTTTGTATTTTCTGTAAGCAGTTTTAGACTTGAAGTTCCTGGTGTGCACCTGGGTTTGATGAGCAAATACAACA